CAATCAGAGCCCTCGACAGACAGACTGTGAATATTATGGCTTAGTGTTTACAAACTTTTTGGTCGAGGCCTCTGATTGGCCGTTATTTGCTGGTGTACAATCCAATTAAATCACTGCATTTAATTAAACGTTCGTGCTACAAAAAGGTGACTATCTCAGTCAAATTATAAACCGAGGTCGTAATAGCTTGACATTGTGAAGATGCTCGCACCCTAAGAATTGAAATGTGATAGAGAATCCGACCAGAGAATACGATAATAAATAACCCCAGAAATATTGCGCAAATCAAATATAGGCTATCCTATCCTATCCACAGTAGTATTATTATTATCAAAATAGAATACCTATACAAATAAAATACCTGTATAAATATTTACATACACTTCTGTACCAACAATATCCATTGTAATCTTTTTATTTGTGTCACGGACAAAGTTTTGCACTATTTGCACTTCTTGATAATTTGAATAAAACTGTCATTGTACCATGATAGCTAAGGGAGTTCTATATTTTCTTCATTTTGTCTAGATTGGAACCAGTGAAAAAAAATTAACGCATCAGAAAATAAAAATGCAAGTTTGAATAGGGAGTTTAACTGTAGTCTTGAGTAGTAAAGGGAGAAAACCCAGTAGAAGTAGTTGCCTCCCTTGAAATACTCTTTAAAAAGAAGGGTGGATTAGTATCAAATTCCACAACAAATTTTTTCATGAAATAACAAGTAGGCTGTAAAACTAAAAAGTTCAAGATAAAAATGAAGGTAAGTGTTTCGAATGATTAATATAATTGTTGAAAATAAGGTCTTGTCTTATATCTGGAACCGTTGCAGACATATTTGCTTACAGATTGTTTAGATATTTGCGATCTTTAGCTCGTTGCGAAGGAAGCTTTCACACACCCACCCCCATCACATCAAAGATTGTTTATCCCTATTTTCTGTACTTATGATTATAAGAAAAGTTTTCCTTTGATTTTTCCCATTGCCATTTAGACCTGCATTTGTGTCTATATACATAGATTAGATGTAATTTCTTTCTTGGCTTAATCAAGTATTATCTAGATTTTAATAGTGTTATCTTTTATTTTCAGCGTGTATTTAGTTTGAATGAAAAATCTCATGGACATGGTCACATTCTTTACAGCTGGCAGAAAACACTAGGAAATTATCTTGCAACTACTGGGTAAGTATTTTATTCTTTCGAAAACTTCAAATTCTATTGGAATCACTGGTCAAAAAGATATTGTCTTCATGGAGTTTTTGTGTTCCTGTCAATTTACTTTTGATTATTTTTTTGTTATTCCAGGGCTGACCATTCAGTGAGAATATATGACAGACATGGAGATATCAAAGGAGAAATCAAACTTCCCGGGTAAAATTCTTTTTATATTTGAAACAATCAAGTTGACAAATTTCATTGTTACTGTGAAGATATAAGACTGATAAACCAATAATATTCAGCCCTGGATCGCGTTTAATTATCTATTTGTATGAATGTAGGATATGTACTGGAATGGGCTGGGATCAAGAAGGAGATATTCTGGCAGTGATAGCTGACAAATCTACAGGAATATTCTTCTGGGATGCCAACCAACATAAAACAACTCAGATTGACAGTGGTCTGAAGTAAGTACATATTTTATTTTTTGTACTCTTTCCCATCCCATTTGGAGAGTCTACATACAACATATCATGCAATTATTGTTTGATGAATACAGCCAATCAGAGATCTTTATAGAAGACTGTAAACTGCACAGGCTGTACTTGTAATCAGGGGCAAGTCTAATCAAATAGCATAATTTACAAACTTCTGTGATACAAGAAAGGTTGCTATTGAATGTATTAGATGCAGTTTGTAATAGCATGTGATGTAAAGATGGCCCTATGTTTAATACTAATACTGTTATCTTCATGTGTTTTGTCTACTCTGTGTATTGATTATGTACCAATGTTTCAGGGACACCATGACGTTTTTACTGTGGTCTAAAACAGGACCTCAGTTAGCTGTTGGTACTGTCAAAGGTAATCTACTGATCTACAATAGTAAGACATCAAGGTGAGTTGTATTATATTGTTTAATATCTTATTTCTAAATAGTTGGTACACCTGAATATTGTACCAGTGGCGGCAACCCTACTTTATTTTTCAACAAAGACATGATCTTTGTACGTTTTTGTCCCAAAATATGTATCCGATTGCACCAAATCCATTCATTTTTTTCCATAAGATTCCATAAGAGGGTTGCTGCATTTTTTTCATTCATCTTCGACAATTGTCATCCAAATTTAGCATATTCTATACCACAAAGAAATACCCGCAATTTTACTTCATTCGTCTATTTCTTTACAGAAAAATTCCAATCTTAGGAAAACATACGAAGAAGATAACATGTGGAGCTTGGAGTAAGGAGAATTTACTTGCGTTAGGTAGTGAAGATAAGACGGTAACTGTTAGTAACACTGATGGAGATACGATTCGACAGACATCATTACGATATGAACCATCAGATATTGATTTCTCTGAGATGAAAGGGGATGAGAGAAGTTCTATTGGAGAAAATACTGTAAGTGCTCAATGTTTAATTGTCGCCATTTTTAGCGGTTGATTTGGACCTGGAAGATATGTAAATAGTCTTCAGAAGAACGAGAACTGTACGGAAATCACATGATTCCTTCAAATATACCTCAGATAAAGATTTTTTTATTTATTTCGTTCACAAGTTTACTTTCTCTCTGAAAATTGGGGTAGTTGAACGTCTTATTATATCTTGTTTTATGTCTCTGACACCCAGACATCTTCACCGCAGCTTTGCACAGACAAAGTGGGACAGGTTGTTTGAGTCTACTGTCTACACATGACATGATCAATGATCTTCAAAATTGGAAATCGTTGGTAAGCTATGAATACTATAACCGATTAGTTTAGCTGAACAAATCCCATTTCTGAGACCACGATACGACTGACTGCTTTAAAGTTTTGTTTTTTGACATGGCCCTGATAGTTAAAAAATATTTATTTTGTAGGTGAGTATTATCAATGGAAAGAAGACATTATATCTGTTTAACCTCAATGACCCTGATAACCCTATAGAGTTAGCGTTTCAACCTCGCTATGGTAATATCATCTCCTATCGCTGGTTTGGTGATGGCTATATGTTAATTGGCTTCTCACAGGGATATTTCGTAGTTATTTCAACACATCTCAAAGAAATTGGACAGGTATGTATTTTATTTTGTACCTTTTGTTTCCAACCTGTAAATTACTGACTTCCACAAAGGTGTAATTCTTACATTTTATAAATTAGTCAGGTGGCCTCTCAGATACAACTTTTGGTGTAACCTGGTACCCCCAGGGAGTCATAATACCTGAGGGGGCCATATCAGGATATGATTTAATTTGATTTTGTATTCAGAGAATATTAAGACAATTTATCTCTTGATAAAAAGAATATTTGATGGTTGGAAGTTAACAATATATTTTTTATCAACAGGAATTATTTCAAGCCAAGAATCATAAAGATAGTTTATCATCTATAGCTCTGTCACTAACATACAACAAGGCTGCTTCTTGTGGGGATAACTGGTAGGTAGTGTTTTAGGGGTTTTATATGTATTTAGTTTTCTTGTTGGCACTTGTTTGTGAGTTCAGAATAGGTTCCTTCTATTCCAATCCTAAGGCATCAATCATTTGGTATAGAACTTGATATGTCACTTTCAAAATTTACCCTTCTAGGTGTAGACAGAATTCAAAATGGTGGAGAAAGGAAGGGTGAATTTGAATATATCCTGTTCCTTACTGTTTTGAACATTCTTATCGAGTGCCCTGTTTTTTTTTCGTTTCAGCATAAAGATCCATGATCTAGCTGACTTAAAGGAAATGTTTGCTATAATCACTCTCGACGATGAGAGAGGACTGGATCAGATATCCTGGACAGATGATGGACAGTTACTGGCTGTATCCACCCAGAAGGGCAACCTTCATGTTTATCTATCAAGATTACCAATGTTAGCATCAACATGTCAGACTCGTATCGTCCATCTGACATCTTTACTGGAGGTCACAATAGAAGATAATATCATGCAAGATAAACCGATATCGTTTGGAATCGAGGTGGAACCATCTTTCCTGGGAATTGGTCCAGATCATCTTGGCGTTGGAATGAACAATAGAGCCTGGTTTTATAGTCTGGCATCGGATGGTGTGTATGCCAATTTCTTGTCTTTCTGATTTGATGGTTTGCTCTTCCTTGCTAACAAGTATTTCTGGCCCTACTTTTTCAAAAAAGTGTTTTGAAACCCCTTGTTGATAATCTTAGTTTGAGCAGTTGCATGTTATAAGTGGTAGAAAAATCAAACGATGGAGATATATCATGGAATTTGTTTTGGATTATGTTATTTGATAATTGTACCTATTTATTGTAGTACCAGTACGTTTAAAAGATAGAGAATATCTGGGTACTGTACAAGCTATCAGTCTTAATGCAGACTACGCTGCTGTTTTATTTGAAGGAAAAGTTCAGTTACATTTGGTAAGCATTCTTATCTATGGGTGGGGGGGTTTGGTAATCCTTTGTACCATCAAGATATTTAGTCTCCTGCACTTCGTAGGCCTCTTCAAATGGTAATAAAAGTGAAGCCCTGTGCATGTTATAGACCCTAATATAGATATGAATTTTATTGTAGTAAAAATGTAATTCCTTGGGCTCTGAAACTATACTTTTTACAGATTTTGCAAAATTACCCTTTGTTTAGCCCAATAAGATGGTCAAAGTAGGATGTCTCATTCATTCATTCACATATTCATTCGTTCTCTTATATAGATTGAATCAGATACAGCCACTACAGAGGAGAGAGAATCTCAGCTATTCCCTACCACTGATCAACGTCAAAAAATAACCTGTCATGCTCTCACCCCAGACTTCCTGATTTACGGTACCGAGGTAAGAATTTAAAACCAATTTATTGGGGGTGGAAGCAGAGACTAGCCCAAATCTTGGAGGCAGGGGCTGTGGAATCAGACTTTTTCTTACCTTGAGAGGGATTGAACCTACAGCACCTAATCACCAGAAAAGAACCTAACTATTATTCAACAGAGCATTTGATTGGTTGAATATCAATTTGCCTAGAACATCAGATGCAAAAAATGTTTGTCAGATCCTGGATGACAAATAGTGTCACCCGATGAAAAAAACAAAATGAAACATTAAAATTTGAAACAGATTGGTTATCTTGAAAATTAATAAAATATTCTGATGATTCCAGACTGGAAATATCAACCTGTTTTTTCTGGAAGATTGGCAGATTGTCAACGAATTCCGCCATATTGATGGTATTAAATCTGTATATCCTGATCCCTCTGGAACACGTCTGGTTTTTACTGATAATAAAGGAGATGGATATGTTTATAATCCTGTCAACGACCAGATTGTAGAAATACCAAACTTGTCAGAATCAGTTCAAGGTGTATTGTGGGAAAATTGGCCACTTGATAAGGTAGCCATTTTGATTTTAATCGAATTAGATAGACAAATTACTATGATAGTCAAGCAAGGGCATGTTGCTATACATGTAGGAGTCCACCATAACAACATTTGCTCAAAATCAAAATTCCATCTTTCACCATACAAGATTCAAAATATCAACGGCTGCACAAAAAACACCCCATATTCCCCCTCTTTTTTACCACCATTTACACTCATGTGTTTATCATAAAAACTATTTACAGGGAATATTTGTTATTTATGATACAGAGAAGATCTATACCTATGTTTATTGTCGAGAATCTGTTAATGGTAAGTAAGTGAATTTGCTCTATGATGTCACTTCCTTGGTTACATACAAAATGGCGGTCATTGATGACAATCAAAATGGCGATCATAGGTTTTAATTTAGAAATGTATGTGATACAAGGATTGTTTTTATATTGAATGATATTTTAAGAAAATCTTTCATGTGGCTAACTGATGATGTATCTGAATTTTTCAGGAGCTCAAGTGAGTCTTGTTGGTACGACAAAATTGCCGTTTGGTCAAATTCCCACCATGTTATATAATGGAGACCTGACTGTTCAGACTCAAAATGGCCGCCTAGTAACCATCAATTTAGATACACATCTGAATACTCAACATGATGATCCTCATTCGCTCTCACAATCTGAGGTAGGTAATTTTCTCAAGGTCAAGCATTAAAATCTAATACCTTGACATTATTAGACAATTTTAGTAATAACTTTACATTGTGAAGACAGGTAGACAGATGCCAAAAAAAAACAACAATTTGATTAAAATGCACATCTCTACAGATGTTTGGTTTGTATTTTTTCTGTGTTGGATTCCACTTGCTACACATGATCTCATGAAATTGTTGTACAACACATGTTCTAGCTCATTGAAATATTGAACCAATCAAATGTCAGACTGACTAAAAACAGTGTGATATATTTTTAGCTTTCATTTATATTATGTATTTTGTGTGATATATTTTAGTTGATGGAAGCTGGAACGCGATGTATCAAACTAAACAGGTAAAAGAAAAAATTATCAACCAATATGTTAAATTCTTTTATTTTTATATTTATTTTTTATATTTATGAGAAGCCTGGAATATGTTGTTAAAGTAAAAAAAATTAAGTGTTATTCAGCTTAAACAAGAAAAGGACAATTTCAAGTTTGGATGCAAAGATACAAAGTAAAATCGTTGGTTTTGTGATGCAATAACTAGTAAACCTCGGCTTCATATTAAAGTTATAATTTATAATTTCAGATTTAAAGATGCCTGGATATTTGCCTATCATTTAAATGATAAATCTTTATGGATAGAACTTGGTAAAACTGCTTTACATCAGCTTGATATAGAATTTTGTAAGTGATACTCTCCTTGTTTAAACCCTCAATCTTTTATCATGAGTGGATTGATAGATCACTTTATCCAAATAGCTTAACATCAGTCAGGTATAGAATTCAATAAGCTCATATTGAGCATCATTTCTTTTTTTTTACCGTGCCCCCTTATCAATAAATAGATTGATGGATTTCACTTTATCCAAATAGCTTGATATGAGGCAGGAGACGAATTTTTACCAAACAAAACAACCTTTTTCATATGCAAGGGTTTGTCATTTGAAATATTATTCGTTGTGTACTTATTTACAAAACAAAAGTACTTCAAACTTGTTGATTGGCTGGTTTGAAAATCCAGTTACCGGTAAATGTAAAATGAATATACAAGGTTATCTTGTAATTTTGATTAATTTATTTCAGCTATCCGAGTGTTTAGAACGTTAGGTGATGTTGGAATGGTGTCATCTCTAATGAGAATCAGAGTAAGTACCTCTAACTTTTATGCTCAAAATGTTCTGAAAATTCTGTCTGGTAGATTGTATTGCCAAAAAAGATATACGATTGATATATGTGATATTTCACCTCAAGCCCACACACTAGCCCATCTCCATTGGCAGGTAAAAGGATATACATGTTCATGTAGTCATCAAATAATTTACTTTATCATGTTGATCTTAGTTTTACTGTTGCCAGTGAGGAAGGGCATGATCTCTGTTCTGGAACACCTGATGCCACTCTGCATTGTCAATGTGGCAGCCATTTTCAAGTTTCTCAAGGTGCCCTCGCATCATGGCAATCACCAGTTGTGTATGGTTGCAAATAATGAAAGTGGCCATGAGTTCCAAACTTGTGACTGGTATTCTTATAGGCAACCATACACAACTGGTGATGGCGATGGTGTGAGGGCCACTTTAGGCTTTAAGGTTTATCTCTGATGCATCCTTTTTGAGATATAGAATTCTGGAAGCTCATACTGTGACCCAGGCCAGTGCTTTTATGACTCTGAATACTTTTTTTTTCACTTTTACTTGTTTAGTATATGGAAGACAAAAACCAGCTTTCAGGATATATTGGCATGTTTCTGGGAGAATTCAATCAGGCTCAAGATTTGTTCCTGGCTTCAGGATATCCACTTGGTGCTCTAGAGGTAATTATTTCTCAATGGAGGAAGAAAGGCTCTGTCTTGAATGCTATTTTTAATTTCCTCATCATTATTTTTAATTTTTCACACAATAGTCTTGGAACTAAACAGCCTCAAATACCACAATTGCTGATGTATTTATATAGCAATATTAAAACAGTTTTCAAGAGATGTTTTTTGCCTTCAGTAGTCTATTGCTATGACACAAGTTGTGGGGCAGGAAATCATTAAATAACTCTCGACGAGTAGGGCCTCACGCCATATTTCCCAAACCAAGTTGATCTGACAGGTTATTCATAGAGGTGAAAAATGCAAAGTTTTGCTTAATGACTCAGTGCAGGTCATGTGATTCACGTGCAGAATTCATTTCCATCTAATAACATTGAAGACCACTTGCTCAAAAATGTACCATTGTATGTGTCTTATTCCAGATGAGAAGAGACTTGCATCATTGGGACAGTGCTCTACAACTAGCCAAAGTTCTAGCTCCAGAACAGATTCCCTATATATCTCGAGAATACGCCCAGCAGTTAGAATTTACAGGGGACTATATGAATGCCTTGTCTCACTATGAGAAGGGAGTGACGAAGGTAGAAAGAGAACGAGAACATGATGAAGTCTGCGCTGCTGGTATCGCTAGAATGTCTATCAGAATGGGAGACATCAGAAGGCAAGTTTTATTGTGTTTACGGCCAGCTATGGCATGGTCACTTTAATCATTGGAATCTTTAAATGATGTCATTTTCATGGTTTCGGTTAGGGTGTTAATGATAATGAAAGCACTAAACTCATATTTTAAATGGCTCAGATTTTTAAGTCAAATGGTTCCGTTTATGAATGAATATTTTATTATGTATGTTTATTCTGCTCCACAGAGGTGTTGCCATGGCGATGAAGATGCCCAGTAAAAGTTTAAAGAAAGAATGTGCTGGTATTTTGGAATCCATGAAGGTGAGTAAACTTTGGAATATAGATGTTTTAAAAGAAAAAGCAAAAGAATTGTTTCAATGGGTTTCACACAGTATCAAGTTTTTCTGGACTGACAGATACCACAGATGTTGAGATGGGCGTGGACAATTAGAAAAGCCTTGATGCACAATCTTCTTTTTAATTGTTTCATGTTGATGTTATTTTTTATCGTAGCAATGGTCAGAAGCAGCCATGTTGTATGAACAGGGACATTTCTACGATAAGGCTGCGTCTGTCTATATCAGAAGCAAAAACTGGTAAGTTACTCTATCTGGGTTTTCTCTTGGTCTATATTCCTCTCTTACCATTTAGTGAGTGACTCTGCTGGTGGATTTATACACCTGAGGCCTGAGGTCACATTCAGCTCTGTTGCTTTACGTTAATGAAAATTACACATAATTATGATGAGGGGGGGGTGGGGGGGAAAGTTCAGGGTAAAAGATTTCGTTTGGTAGTTCAGATCGTTAGTAGCGCCCCCTTGTGGGTACCATCTGATAATTCGAGAGAGAGTTATGTATATTGACTATGATATCCATTTATCTTTTTCTTCTGGGTTTTGATTCATAATAGTAAAACAAATTTTAAATTTTCAAGGAATAAAGTTGGAGATTTGCTGCAGAATATTACCTCGCCTAAAATCCATGCCCAATATGCGAAGGCTAAAGAGGCTGATGGGAGATATAAGGAGGCGGCAGAAGCCTATAAAATGGCCAAAGAATGGGACAATGTCATCAGGTAAGATACTCAATTTTCAAATTTTTACTTTGTCTGGATACTGTATAATTGTGAATATAATGCGCACCAATTTTAATTATTTATGTTTTCTTTTATTGAAAGTATCACAGTCAAATTCTAAAAACTGTTTGATATAATATTTGTCTTATAAGAAAAAATAAGTTATTAGCAGACGTCCAATTTTCAAAGTATACATAAAGGTTACAAATCCATAACCAAAAATTATAATTCTAACTGTTTATTTGGTGTCCATGGTCTCTATTTCAGAATTAATTTAGATTTCCTACAGAACCCAGAAGAAGCTGTAAAAATAGTTCGTTCCACTCAATCTGTCGAGGGTGCCAAGATGGTAGCCAAGTAAGTTAGGTTTTTTTTTTTTAATTTTGGAGACGTAAGTTTGTGTGGATCCCAACAGACATTCTGATTCTGTTTTTTTCTCTGATTGTCTAGAAACAGAATACAAATGGATCATCTTTAAAGATATTTTTGGAAATTTATTTCAGATTTTTCCAGAAATTGAACGACTATGGATCAGCTATTCAATTTTTAGTGATGTCTAAGTGTAATGATGAAGCGTTTCAACTGGCCCAAACTCACAATCAGATGGAAGTTTACGCTGATATTATTGGTGAGTCTTTGGAGAATTTTACTCCTCCTCTGCCAAACTTTTAACACCAATCCCCCTTGGTCTCATCTGAAGGAAACTGTTTTGGCAAAATTTCCCAAATCTCTCTGACTCCTTACACCTAACAGAGGCTGTTTTGACAAAATTTCCCTCTTTGTACACTGCAAAGTATCGGCAGGTCCTGGGTCTTTTACTCCTCCCCCTTTCCCCTCCAATTTTATGCAAAGGAATCTGTCGTGGCGAAACATTGATGAGTCTTCTGAGAGTTCGACCCCTCCTACATCATTCATTCAGCCTCCAACTACAGAAAGCTTTGCAAAAATTTGCCAATACTTGGTGAAGCCTTTAAAATTTTTTTTTTTTCTTTAGGACCTGATGCCACAATAGAAGATTACCAATCTATAGCTGTTCATTTTGATAATGAAAATAATCATTTTCTGGCTGGTAAATTTTATCTACTGTGTGAACAGTACATTAAGGTAAGACCAATGATTTAAAAAGCAGTAAATTTTGAAATCAGCTGGAATATTTTAGTTAAAAATGAAGCAGTTGCATTAACACAAGTGTCTTATCATGCCTCGTAATGGCACAACAGAAACCTCTTTATTTCATCCACCTATAATAAGTTTGTCATTATGTTTGTAGGCTATGAAGCACTTCTTTAGGTGTAGTGGTGAAGATGCTCAGGCTATAGAATTAGCTATTGAAACTGTAGGAAGAGCCAATGATGATCAGTTAACACGACAATTGATTGACTATCTTATGGGAGAAACTGACGGTGTTCCTAAGGTAGGTAACTCTAACAGATTGTGGGTGCGGAATAAAAGGGGGAAAGGATTGAGATGAGACTGTGGGGAGAGCCAGTGATGAGGGAGTTCCCAAACATCCACCCCCAACAATGTTGCATTATATATTTTAACATTTTAAAAACAACATTGTCAAAATAGATTTATATATTTGTAGGATGCAAGATATCTATTCAGATTGTACATGGCATTAAAACAGTACAGAGAAGCTGCTAGAACTGCCATTATTATAGCCAGAGAGGAGCAGAATGCAGGTACTTCATTTTCCAAACGTATTTTTAGTCGAGGGTTGAAAACTGTTGGCTCTGGGTAATTAGTGTGTCTGTGGTGGGAAAGTGGTCACATGAGATGAAAAACCGAGGCTCTATGTACTTCAGACTGTGTCGGATCCTTCAACAGTTAGAAATAAAGAAAAAAGATTAACAACCATTTTTTTACCTGATAACCATATACTGTATATTTGCTTGTATAATGCACACTGTTTTACCTGATAACCATATACTGTATATTTGCATGTATAATGCACACTGTTTTACCTGATAACTATATACTGTATATTTGCATGTATAATGCACACTGTTTTACCTGATAACCATATACTGTATATTTGCTTGTATAATGCACACTGTTTTACCTGATAACCATATACTGTATATTTGCTTTTTTTTGCAGGAAATTACCGAAATGCCCATGATGTGTTATTCAGTATGTATCAAGAATTGAATCAGAATCAAATTAAAATACCATCAGAGATGCAGTCTAATTTAATGATACTTCATAGCTATATCTTAGTCAAGGTTAGTTGAATTCCTTTCTTCTATAATTTCTCTACTTAAATTTTAGTGGAAAGTATAAAATAATCAAGCCAGATTTCAACTTGGTTATATACGTCAACAAATGACATGGGACTGATTTTTGCTTCCTTATGATATTTCTGCAACCTAATTATCACATGAATTAAGTGACAGATATTGAGATATTTGAACTTATGATCTCTTGTAGCCTTAGCCAGTGCTTCTATAGAAATATTTCTTCTTTTAACACCCAATAGCAACAGTACCAACAGTGTGGATAATGATCAGCTATTGTGGCTTTTCAATCACAACTGTTAAATGTTTGATTAGTAGTTCTGTTGTAATATTTGTAGATGCACGTGAAAAAGGGAGATCATTTAAAAGGTGCCAGAATGTTGATCCGAGTTGCTAATAATATCAGTAAATTCCCTTCACGTAAGTTCTAACATTTCAACTCAATAAATTTTGTGGATTATCCTTGGGATGATCCATGTAAATTCATGATTCAGAGAATATTAAAATTATTTTTCCTAATTTTTGACAAGATGAAAAATGCAGATATAAATAGGTGAATTCATTTATGGACCAGTTTGAGTGATTTTTGAATAATATAATAGAAATAAGTCGTGCTTTTAGAATATTTCAAAGTAGTTATACACTTTCAAGATTAGTGCATGTTGTATCACTTTATGTTTTAGAAGATAAAAAAGATGACGTCATGTTTCTTAATATTTACAGATATCGTACCGATTCTAACCTCTACAGTTATTGAATGTCATCGAGCAGGACTGAAAAATTCATCGTTTAGTTACGCAGCCATGTTGATGAGGCCAGAATACCGAGATCAGATAGATTTAAAATATAAAAAGAAGATAGAACAGATTGTACGAAGACCAGATAAAACAGAAGAAGAAGAACCATTGACGCCTTGTCCAGTTTGTGGATTTCAGCTACCGGAAACTGACCTACTGTGTCCTGATTGTAAAAATAACCTACCCTACTGTATTGCTACTGTAAGTTTTATAAGTCTATAAGCTGGCCCGGGAACTGTAGAGATTCTAGAGAGGTTTTCTAACTTTTTATGTGCTTTTAACATGCTTAGTTTGAGTGGAATTGCAGGAACCACAGACTTCTGACTGAAAATTGGTGCAAATTGTTGGCTTTTAGTGTTGATTCATATAAAACCTCTTTATTGTCCCTTTAACAGTGCAGGTTGAAATCGATTATAATCAATATGTAGTAAATAATTATTTGAAGTTGTGTTTTGTTTGATTATCCAGGGACGTCATGTAGTAAAAGAAGATCTAACAGCTTGTTCTGTCTGTGATTTTCCAGCTATTCATACGGAATTCGCCAGGTAACTTCCCTTTATAACCATTCTTAAAAATCTCTTTAACCATAGAGGTCTCTCCTAGTTATCTGCAAAATAATTCAGATATTTCCCTCATTCACTTTCATTGCCATATTAAAGGTTCACTGTCCATTTGACCAATGGGAAATAGAAATATTTTAGCTTGGCTAATCAGTAATAATGTCCTTAGCTCACCGTCAAAATTTTAGCTTTAGATCCATGTGTGTCAAGAATTATCCTTGTTTGAAAGTTAAAATTGCCTTTCCGAACTATAATCTTCTAAAGAAATTCATCGGAATCAAAGATCTCATCCTATTTTCCAGCTTGCTTGAAACTGAAGAAAGTTGTCCAATGTGCAGTGAAAAAATCAGCAGAGAAAATCTACAAAGAATCACCGATCCTCAAAAATATCTGTTTCCTTCAGCTCATGCTACAGAATAGAGGCACCATCTTGAATTATTTATTTATTTATATATTTGTATTGTTTATTGTTTATTGATTCATTCCACATTATTTACTATTTTGTTTATGTAACTTTTCTCTAATTAAAATATGTTAAATTCGACACCACGAACATCAAATTTTTTTTTTTCATGAATCAGTTGTTCAACTTTGTTCTCTAGTGTGGTATCTCTCAATTCACATTTTGTAAGATGTTTGAGAAAAATGGGGGCCTATATCTCTACACCATGCAAATCCCTGACATAAAGGTGGGAGGCAGGGTATTTAAGCTAGACCTTAGTAATAAATTGTTCACATGAAATTATGTCTTTGGTGTTCATAAATATCAATGATAACCAAATAAAAATTACAGAATCCGTCCATAATTTTGATTTGAACATTATCAGAGAATTTTATTTGTAAATCTAATCTGAATTGTTTGTTTTTCATATAGCTAAATAAATCTATCACTTATACTTATTATAGAGTATTTATGTCAAGTTCCTGGAGGTGTCTAGTTCCAGGAAATGAGCTACAGTTTGGAATTAAAATTGAAAACTTGAATACTGATGTCTTGGCACAATGTTGATATAGTTCATCTTAAGTTCATCAACTCCCGACAAATTTCTCATTGTACCCTGCATGGCGTTACCCGTCTTCATAAACCCCCACGATGCAGAAAAGTAGGACGTAAAACTGCATTCATTTCATTTTTCAGACTCGCTCTACTTTCAGTTATTCGTATTAGACAAGATAGGGTAGCTCAGCAAGAAAGACACTTGATCTCTAAACATTTAGGGTTCCCTCATTACACACTGCATGGCATTGCCCATAAACCATTAGCCCAGAAGAGTACATTACAATGATATCTCCATTTAATTTAGTCCCAGTGAGATTCTATATTCAAGAGTAAAATATGGAAGATAAGACAGAAAGAAAACCACAATTTTTAAAAATAATGTTTATTGTACATGTATATTTATTGTAGAAGATATTTATACATAAATAATTTCTGAATGGATGAAAATAATTACTTTACAAATATTTAAATTAAAAATTTGAATAGTGCTTATTTGAGATTATGCGCATAATTAGGCTACTTCAAACAAGACAGTAACTAGATATTGAGGTAATCAATTTCTACTTATAATATCATCATACAGAGCACAATGTTTGCAATTAAGTTTCAAAATGTTCTGGTTGTATATAAGTATTACAAATAAATAAAATTATAAGGATGAATGATGGACCCATTCCCTCTCATGTTTTAAATTTACAAAAAATGAAAGATGAAAAGAACAGGTTTATATCTAAAATATCAATGAACTCATTGTGGGGAAAATTCACTTGAAGCGTCAATTTATAAATCATAAATATTATCACAAATGTAGCCAAGTATTTGAGTAATTGGTCCTTCCCTTTGTACGGTCCTTAATTTAGTAATTAGAAAAGAAATACTTCCAAACTCTATGACAAAAAAATGACAAAATATCAAAGTTGTGTTCCATTGCAAAGTTAGTTTTGAACTCATTATGGAGAAAATTTAATCAATTTAACTGAATCAATTTTTCTTTTTTTTGTTAATGTTTGTAATTTTTAGGTTAGGTTGGTAAATTTACATACACCACAGCTTCAAATGCCTGAACTTAAAAAGTCAACCATACAATCTGTTTAGTCGAATTTCTCACTGATATATTTTAACCATCCAGTTTCTATTATATAGAGCTTGTTTTAATAGAATCTTTCATACAAAAACATCAGTGAGAAAAGGAGACATAGCCCTATACACTCTGACATTTACAGAATCTTAAATAGAGATGGGTATTAACAGAGGTCTGTGAAAAAAATAAATGACCAAATGTCCAACAATGAAAATTGATACAATGATGTAAGTGCTTGATATTAAAAAAAAAATGATGTAATGATGTCATGCTTCAATTCTGTGATAGGTTGATAGGGACTACATCTCTGTTGGTCTGTGACCAGCTGTAGAGAGACTGGTAGATACTTGCTGTCATAGCAACACAATTTCACCAGTCTTCTATCAATACAGCTGGGATATTAACCTCATCCGCCCTGAAATTAGAGTTAACAAAACAATTTTAACCTGGTCTGTGATATTCCATCTCAAACTTTTGCAAAGAAACAGGCTTGAGCTATTGTGACCTTGACATTGATTGGACGAAATTAAGTCCCATAATGCACTAGTCTTTAATGTACCATTATATAATCCAAGAAACAATGACCTTGGGCTATCTACACATAATATTAGGTTTCTATTTATGCAATTGGTCAATGGCTTAGGTCTAGACTAAATTAAGATGTATTCACCAGATGGTTTGTGCTTTGGAAAGAAGAGTATAAAATTAAATGTAATATTGATAGAACTATGAGCCTTACTGACCTGGCCATCTAAGTTGACCCCTATATCACCGAATCTTTTAACATTATTACCAAACTTTCTTTCTACTGCTTTCTACAAAACACATATATAAAATAGAAATAATTAGCTGGATACTATCTAACATAGGTACTTTTTATTAGTAAGTTTACACACTATTACTGACCAATATCGAGTTATGCCAATTTTAAAATTTCAGAAGGGGTGCTTACAAATTCACAAATTTACAGTAGACTATAACATAAAATACTTCAAAATATACTCTGTAATTTGGTATGTACTGATAACTAATTCTACTTACCGAAGCCTTCAACTCTCTGGCTTTAATATTATCTCTATCTGCTTCAATCTAAAAAGAAAACATGAACATTTTTAATGACATTGAGCAATGTACCATAACACATTTTGTTAATTTGACATGTGTCTCTCCTTTAACATAAAATAAATGTTATTTAATATCTTAATATTTTAATCTTTATCAATAATTGGATGTAATTGTGATTCACATTATCAAATAATTAGTAAGAGTTTCATGCATGTGTTCACATTTACAAAACAAATCCAATGTAAAAGAGTGTTGATTGGTCAGTTGGAGAATCACATGACATCATGGATATATCATGAGGTTTATCTACCTATTCAGACATGTTGAATACACAATTTATATAATGTTGATAGCTCCATTTTGACTTTTCAGACTACTGTATATTTCTGACCCTACCTGAGTCTTGACGCGTTTCTGTTCCTCTCTCTTCCGTCTGATTTGAGCTTGAAATTTTTCTTTTTGTTCTTTCAATAACCTCTCTTTTTCTTTCATCTACAATTTATTGAAATCAAATATTTATCCTTAAAATTGCTTTTAGTAACACTGTGTAAAGGTTTTATAAATAATGATAAGGCTCTGTATTTAAATTTACCAATTATTGCACCAAATAAAATCACTGAAATACCAAAGTTACAAGACTTTATCTTGCATTTAGTGGATACTTACTTCAGCTTCTGACCAGCCAGACTGAACCTGAGTTGTACTGGAGGTAGAATTTGCTCCATTGGTTAAACCATATTCTCTGGAAACAACAAAATATGATTTCGAATTAAAAACAAGGTTTCCTCAGAGTACTAGTTAGTTCAACTACAGTGATCAGTAGTTTCCCATTTCACAAAATGTGTCCAATTGGCAAGCAGAGAGCTACCATAGTTCATGCAGTAATTTTGCTATTTCACAGCAATGGAAATACTGTCTTACATCAGGTTAAAGTTGGCCCTGTACCAAGTCAAAATTGTCCCAAACACCCTGGTCAAAATTGCCTTTATTTTGGTGGAACATAAATCCTGATATCCAGCTTATAGTGTGATTTATTTTGTATTTTAAAATAATTTAACAAAGGTTCACAATAAAACACTTGTAAGATCAGGACCTACTTTAGTTTATCTTCTAGAAACTTGATAACACCAGAAAGATCTTTTTCTTCTAAAAATATAATACTGTCATCCACCTACAAAATAAAGTTCTATCTTTTAGTTGATTGGTTTAAACTTTAAGAACAGTAGCCCCATTCATAAACAGATTCTAGTTGATTACATAGATACATAAAGTAAATAGCATATCTTAAAATCATTATCATATATACTTTACAATATTTTTAAGTTAGACAATACTTTCCCTTGAAGATATAAATTCAAATATAGGAATGTATAATGGAAATTGCCCACCCAAGAAGAGAGTCAAGACCATGGCTATTCTATGTATATAGATGACCCACCTCAGTCCAGCCTATAGTTAATAATAATTGTTGTCCTCCATCATATTTCCAAACTTTCTCTTTCAATGATTTACTTTCTTTCTTTATCTTTTTATATTTCTCTTCACTGGGATTCTGTTGAATATTTCTACAGCAAGAATTAAAATCAGATTTAAGAAGGTCTTGGCTCCAAATGAACATCCTGTGAGTGAAGTCTCACCAAATAAATTTTTCAAGTCAAAAGAGTTTTACGTCCTACTCTTTGGCACTTAATTGGGCTAGTGAAAACAGACTGCACCATGAAGTATGCAATGAGGGAAATACAGTCAGGACAATTAAAAACCTACCTGCATATCTTAATGATAAGATCTAGGGCTGCTTTAAGATTAGCAGTAGAATCTTCACACTCTGTCTGTAGTAACTGTACACATATTGATAAGGATTCTGTGTCAATCACATTAGAGGACGGGGTCACTCCAGCCATTTCTTACAGATATGTATCCAAAGGAAGGAACGGGGTATCAACACCTCTAGTTCTTGATTAACCTTACTTTCAGGCCTAGCTCTAATGAATAAAATAAATATATAATCTTATATTTCCACAAATGAACAAAATCTTACATTTTTCTTTGTAAAATTCGGTTCTAAATGACACAACTTGAAGATACATTCATGTTGATCTACGAGAAATTCCTTTGTTCTCTTTCGATATTTTAAAAAATCTGCTCTAAAAATGAAATAATATGCTCAGAAATGTTGGATATCAGTCTACCATACCTTTATGTTCAAACTTTACCTTCACTTTTAATCAAAACTTCAGAATAATCGTCATTTCTTGACATGAGTCATCATTTTTCATTTCTAGAAACTTCTACTTTCATTTTATGAAAAGTAGTTCATGCTATTTGGAGTAGTCTCCCCTGATAACATATCACAGTGCATTTCTTCCATAGCAACATAATTTTCTTAAATTTAACATCATAAGGAAAGTTCTTGGGAGCAAAATATAATTGACAGAACTTTTTTATATGGTTTGCAATTTTTTAGTCGCATTTTTGACTTCAGTATTTCAAAAGTGCCAAATATTTTTTAGAACTATTTACCACTTAAACATCCGGTGTGTGTTATTTGGTTGTAAACAAATGGCCGACAAATTGAAGTGAAAATGGCACTGGCTGAGAAAAAATATGACCTTGCTCTCGTAAATACTTTGACGGACAAAAAAATACGGCAACAGCCTTGGTAAATATATCATCTTTAGAAAACTGCACCTTATCTGCCATCTTTATCGCAAAATCTTGATAATTTTCCATTTTTAAAGGACATAAATTAGAAAAATAGATAGATGTCATTAATAATTGAATATGAATACAACTTACAACTGTTGTATATTTAATACTTATATAAACTAGTGTAAGGCAAAGAAAAATAAGGTAAAGGCTTATTTTGAAAAGCATAGAACATGCATGAAAATGTAAGGCTTTAGATTTTAGATAAGTTAATTCTTGCAGCCTAAATGAGTAATTATTATCAATAAAAGTCCAAATGGCAGTCAAGTCCACAAATATTTTTGTTTGTTTGTTTAGATTTTTGTCCTGCGAAAGCCCAAGAGCAAGTCGCTCAACTTTTGTCACCTGACCTCACTTGTCACCTGACCTCACTTGTCAAGATGATATTTTATGTCTATCTAAAAGTTGGACCATCAAAGTAATCAAAGTTGTGAGAATAATAGGTCTCTAAACAAACCTTGGAAACCTGCTCTTTTTCAAATTCCAGAAGTAGAACAATTTGTTCTAGTCTAATTCCTAAATAACGCCAAATTCTTATTTTCATTTCAAGATTTAGAGCATGCACAAGTTTGTTTTCAGGCCTGATTTTCACTTTAGTTTTGCAAAATTTACTTCCAGTCATGTTTATTTGATTTTTTATGTTATTTTTATATTTTGTTTCTTTCATTTTTAAGTTATAATCTATTTTCTCTTTTTATCTTATTTGATTTCATTTTTTGCATCGATTTTCGTCTCCTTAAGGTATATTTTCATGTACAGGTAGAAACTTTTTTCTATGGAAATATTTCATCCAATCTTCAAAACCTTTTTCATTTCTATCAGAATCTACGATTTTTGACAATCTTTTTGATGAGTTTGTCAGAAAATCACTCTATCAAGATCCCTTGACTTAGCATTTGACACTGTCTTATTTCAACATCAGGTATAAAGAAAGATTACGAACAAAATACATCAAATCTCTCACTCCCGGAGATACTTCAAAATGTCTGATAGGAAAAGACTGGATGTTTTTAAAAGATGGACTAGATGATTACAGAGATGGTCTACCTCCCTTGGCTAAAGGAGAGGAGGTTTTTATCAAGGTATTTTGTTTCAACTGTTAATTAATATCATTTTTCTGTTCAACTACAAATGACATGAAAATATGGATTTACTACATCAATTAATGCCATACACTTTAAGTTATATTACCTGGAGGTCAGGTTATATGATGTTTTATTTCATAAAGGTTTTCATTAGGTTTCATCCAGTGTTCACAAGGTTTATATTATGTAAACCTGAAATGTTAAGCTTATAGATTAAAAACAAAAAATTTAAGAAAAATTTGACTTTGTGCATGCCTTCTTGCGATCAATGAGTTTAACCTTATTTCCCTGAATAACATGAATACTCATTATTAATTGCTTATATCCAACAGGGAGATAAAGGTCCCTCACCATGTATAATAGGAAGTAGTGAGAGTATTGAACCAGTTAAACGTCCTGCAGTTAAAAATAGATTTGATAAATACCAAGTATGTTTCTCCCGTATTACCCCACAACAACAACAGAAACGAGAACATATTGAAGAAATAGAATATGGTTTGCTACAGCATCCGTTAGCCTTGTATCCACATCTAGAAGAGAGTGTCCCTACTGAGGTAAGTGTCTACCAAATGATGTTATTAGCTATGTCGACTCTGTCAAACATATGCCAAATTGACAAACCTAGATTATTTTTGTAATTTTGTAACATATATAAAACTTCATGTAATTTTAGTCTTCATATTATGATCTTTTAGTCTCCAAATTATCTCCCTTTAGTCTTCAAATTATCTCCCTTTAGTCTTCAAATTATGTCCCTTTAGTCTTCAAATTATCTCTCTTTAGTCTTCAAATTATCTCCCTTTTGTCTTCAAATTATCTCTTTAGTCTCCAAATTATCTCCCTTTAGTCTCCAAATTATCTCCCCTTGGTCTCCAAATTATCTCCCTTTTGTCTTCAAATTATCTCGCATTAGTTTACAAATTATTGCTCTTTATTATTCCACCTATCTCCCTTTAGTCTCCAAATTATCTCCCTTTAGTCTTCAAACTATCTCTTATTTTAAGATATTTTAATTTTCAGCTATTTGAAGATGTAGTGGATATCCTAGATCCTGAAATGAACATTGATTCAGAAGAGGAAGACTCTATTAAAGATGATTCTACTATCAGAGATGCTGAAAATCTTCATAAATCCATTGACACACCCAGTAGTGCCAAAAAAACAGAAGCTGAGTGAGTTCTGTTTGATCATATTTTTAATTCTGTTGAATGTTCCATTTTAATGGAATTTGTCACACACACACACACATTAGTGCATATCCAGTTTCAGATTGCAGATGTCTGATTGCAAAATAGAATGGTGCAAGTTGATGCTATTAGTGTCCCTGTACACATGAACTTTTTAGATTACCTCTTTACAATCATTTTAATAATTTGGAAGGAACTAGTAATAAACTATTCTTCAATTTCAGGTCTGACAACTCATTCAGAAATTGTTATCGCTGGATATCAAGGAAAGATGAAAAGAAAGATAACAAGAAAAAGAATGAACGAAGACCTTCTTCACCGGCTGAGGTAAGATTCTGCACATTTTCTTGTTGGTTGAATTGATTGTCATTGCCAGTCATGTATGACTAGAGCTGTTAAATGATGTTAATTTGATTTGGTACATTATTCCGTTAAAGCTTATGATTATGGAGTTTTCAATTGATATTTACTGAAATATGGCTGTTTCATGATTTTTAAAAACTTTTAAAATTATTTTTCCAATTTCAGAAGGAACATATTGAAAATGTGACAAAAGATTTTTGTAATTGGGTGGCTGATTTAGGAGGTGAAAGTAATAACATAGAAGAATCGACTATCACTAGTTTATTTGCTAGTGGATATGAAACAAAACCGGCTTTATCGGTACCAATTCATGTTGTCGAATTAACCAATGTTCCACCAGAATTACGAATGTCGGCGCCTGTTCAGGCTCAAGCTCAAACTCAGAATACAAAAAATCTACCTGCTGAAGAAGAAAAAACCAAACCTTGGGTAAGAATTCATAGCTCACTTATCTTGAGATTTTCTCTTTAAGGTTTTCACTCTGACAATATTAATATTTGGTGTACGATTAGAGCCTCATTGTTAATTTCATATTAATGTGGTGTGAATTATTGGTGTTTAGTCTTCAAATTATCTCCCTTTAGTCTTCAAAATATCTCCCTTTAGTCTTCAAATTATCTCCCTTTAGTCTCCAAATTATCTTCCTTTAGTCTTCAAATTATCTCCCTTCAGTCTTCAAATTATCTCCCTTCAGTCTTCAAATTATCTCCCTTTAGTCTTCAAATTATCTCCCTTTAGTCTCCAAATTATCCCCCTTTAGTCTCCAAATTATCTCACTTTAGTCTCCAAATTATCTCCCTTTAGTCTCCAAATTATCTCACTTTACCCTTCAAATTATCTTCCTTTAGTTTCTGAACTTGTCAAAACCAATCTTTTATAATGAATAACTGTTTTTTTTTTTATCAGAAATACTCTGGAGCTTATGAACCGAGTTGTGTAAAATTCAAATACGGATCATGGTATTTACCTCCTAAAACTTGGAAGAAACGAGAATGGAACGATCAACTGATGGATCCAAAAGAATTGAAAAATCAGGAAATGTCTGATTCCAAGAAAAAGAGTCAATCATTGGTAAATATTTTAGCTTATTATGCATAATTCTTGGGGCCTTATTCTTGAAAACTTAACTAAGATAAAGTCCATTTTTTAAGAAATACAGTAATCTGATTGGATAATAAAATTAATATCAATAAATTTCTTTTTGTCTGGGTTTACTATTGTATTTATGACATGTTTTACAGAATGAAGATCTATCCAACATGCACGGTGCCGAAGCTTTTATGGAATTTATCAACAGAAAAGGTCTGAGAAAAATAGAGGTAAGATCAAAAGATTTGTATTAGAATTAGACTGAAATTTCCATTTTAATGCCGACATTGGAAAATGTCCAATCATTCTGATAGAACTTGCTTCCTCCATATCAGAAATACACAGCCTATCCTGACCAAAATTTCCCTCATTGCACACTACATGGTGGCCAATTCCATTATATTTTATCTTAGTTCTATGCCCCAGTGATTCTATTGCATTTCGGATTTTAAGTTTCCAAGATGATTATGTGTCAATTTTTCTTCTTTTAATTCACATTATTCTTTACTTAATATCAACAATGTTTGAATTTCAGTTCCTGGAACAGGTGTCTGAGATTCAGCGCCGACAGAAAGAAGATGAACAGCGTAGAATTGAAATGGAAATAACTTCCAAACAGAGACGTGGTGCCAGCAAAAAATAAATTCACAGACATTATCTTCCACTAGTCAATTTTGAGATTTTAATCAGATTTTATGATAAAAAAAACACACAAAATGAATTCCACTGAAACTTCCAAAAACCTTTTTTTTTTTTTTAATCTTGATTGTTTTAGATTGTTTTAAGTTTGGTTGAATTACAGAGCTGGATATTTATTTCATGTTTCCTTTTATAGGTAAGGGTTATTACAAAATTTAATGACCCACAGAAAAAAATGAAACAGAACATACAGATTTTTATTGATTAATTTTTGTTTAGATAATTCTCACCTTTTTTTACAGTTTTTTTGTTAAAGTAATACTGACACTGTACACTCAATGTTTTAATATTTTATGATTTGATTTTTTGGTTACCCTCCAACATTGTGATGAAATATTATAAGGTTAAAAAATGATAGAATGATATCATGTATCACAGTTTTTAAGTTATTATTGGTTTTGTTTTTATAAAATGTGATTTTCTTTAAGAAACGTTTCTGAGTGTCCATATAATATTAATCAAAATATTCATCTGTACAATTTGTTCACTGACTACTTTGTTCTAGCATAGGCTGTGATATATTTTATTCTATTCAAACTATCGTTAACAATAAATGCAGCTTATACCCGAAATCTTTTATTCTTTTGAATGGGATAAAACCAAGAGCCAGTGTGCTGCAGAATTTGAGATCTTTTGTTTACCAACTTGTCTCCCTTTAGACTCCAAATTATATCCCTTTAGTAGTCTTCAAATTATCTCCCTTTAGTCTCCAAATTATCTCCCTTTAATCTCCAAATTATCTCCCTTTAGTCTTCACATTATTTGCCTTTTATAGTATTTAAATTGCCCCGCTTTACTTACAAATTATCCCCCTTGAGTTTTCTTGGAAGAACCCTCTCAGACGCCCAACTGGCCCTGTGATACCCTGCACCAAGAATATCAATGTCAAAAAAATATCAGTATTTCGTCGATGCTTGAGTGAATGGAATTTAGAAGACATATGAATTTTAGAGTTTTAATACGGAAAGACCAATGTAGGTAGATGTTTAACCAATGATGTGGCCAAGACTTGATGGAATCAAAACGTTGTCTATCACGTGTACGACACCATTCTCAGCTTCGATATCAGATTCTTCTAATAAAGCCTTACCATTGAATCGAATAGCGGAATCTAAAAAAGATATATGAACAAAATAACGTAACGCAAAAACAGGCCCCGCCCTACAACGCCTGGTAACACAGGCATTAATACACCGTTCTTGTTACATAATACAATACAGAAAAGCACACAAAGCCTTATTAATATTAAGCAGACTGGACGTAGAACCCATTCGATTTCATTACACTGAGTAGGATAAAATAGTAAAATTCTGTTACATCACCCCTAAAGAGTGATTGGCGTAAAACTCCATTTCATCGAAAAGGACCTTAAAAAGTTAAAGACGTAAAACTCATACTATTTCCAGTATGAATAAAGTTCAACAATGGGCGTAAAACTCCATTGTAAAACATATAACTTACTGTCTGTGTCGACTCTGATGGAATGAGATCCCAGTAAAGTTCTGATATTACCAGCATGATCTAAACTTTTAATATGGATGGTGCCAGGATGGATGTGATAATCTACGACTTCTGTAAAATAAAAGCGTGGAGCAAGTAAGAAACCCAGCTGGATGTTATACATTTTGCAGTGTTGCTGCAATCTTACCGGTGAAAAAACTGCAAATGTATTAGACCATCTCAACTGCCAGCGACAAAATGTTCGCAAATGAACTATCTGAACTGGTTGTGGTAATATGGCTTCCAAAATACCAATATTTAAAGCAAATTGACCCTCTTTCCGGATAGCATATTAACATATTTAATTCACAAAAAGAATGTACTTTACGTTGAAAAAATACGAAATTTTACCTCTTAGATATGGTGAATTTCCATTCAAGATCTTGTTAACATTGGCAGGTAATTTGGCAAAGGCAGCATTGGAAGGAGCAAAGATTGTATATCTGTAGTTGGCTGAAATAAGGAAGTAAAGGTTGGACTTTAACTCAGTAGATAAATACTACCATATATTTGCGTGTATAATGCGCAGTTTTTTTACCCCATAGGTTGCTCAGGTTGTGCGCAGTATACACATTGACCAAGTTTACAAGTAGGCCTGAATATGTGATATTACCACTCACTATTATGGTGTCTGTGTTATGCCAACTAGTCGATTTTTTCGTATTGAAATTATTTACGGTGACAGAGAGTTTATAGGTCATAAGCTTTGGGTAGCAATTACCATTTTTTTCCGCAAATTACTGAACAATTTAGAGGACTATATCCCAATAATACGTACCGTTAGAGCTAGCAAAGTTTAATCTGTATTCGAGTCTAGCTTTTCTGATCAAACTGGCAAACATGGTCAGATTGTGGGCTGTGCTGTCTAATATGTTCATTATGGTGCCTTCGGGTACATCTAAAACTCTGTCAATCAAATATACCACAGCATTGGAGGCTTCCAAGTCAGTCTTTAAAACTTTGGCATCATTGAAGAAGATGGACTGAAATGTGAAAAGTGTCAAGATAACGAATTCGAAAGAGAAAATTTTGGTTTCTGATGATTGTAATGGTAATGGAGCCATGACAGGTAACGTAATCAATGCCATCGGCCAGTTTCAACGGCGAGGGAACAAGCCTTGGTAAGGAACCATAAGCTATAGCATGCTGCTGGAAAAGGGTAGGGGTTAATTTTTCGCCTCGGGATTTTTCTGATGTTTTTATGGACCACCTTAGTCGACCTAGACTGGCGGTACAAATTGGGGGGAATAACGAATAATCCAGGAAAGATCAATGCCAAGAGGATTGGCCAAGGCCTAGCTGGCAGAAAGGATCCTCGGTGAACCTAAGTTGTTATCCTTTTAAATATAGGTGTTCCGTTTTTTTTCTTTTTCTTAAAGTCAAGTCAATTTATTGGTTACATCAAGAGCAATGACCCTGACGAAAATTTGTGGCAGTTGAACTCATCCAATATCTTATAAGTATATTCTAGGACGCCAAACCATATCATTATTACGATCTCTTTAGAGTTCACAGGGCATCATCAGGATGAACATCGAATAAAAAAAAAGGGTAACAGAAAATATTACTTACACCGCCCTGTTCGTACAATCTGATGGAGTGTCCTGATATTGTGGACAGAATTCTACCATTGACAACGTCGAATGTAAATTCCTCTCCGGCCAATACGTGGTATTTGAGAACATTGGCCAGGGCAACGGGGTCGGCGGTAAGTTTTGCAAGATCCGCCTTAGGAATGGCGGCAAAGGCAGCATCGGTTGGTACGAGAACGGTAAATGGTCCTGAAAATGGATGAAAAAGAACAATTCATCATTGGAACCATGTCAAATTACACAAATTCATCCCCGAGTCTTTTCATGGTGCTAGTTCCCAAGCTAGGGTACCAAGTGGTACCAGCCCACTAAAACGCAATAGGGGTACCTGGAAGGTCTCACGATCAGTTTAAAGTGAATATTGTATAATGATTTCGACCGTGGATTCGAATGGATAAATCACGTAAAGCGCTACATTTACCAAACTTCCATGATACAAGAAAAGTGCCTAATGATGTCAAGGTATGAGACTGAGTTCGTACTTCCTTGAGATTATGAAGATAAAGACGCACCTGGGCTTTTCTATCATGAGGCAGTATATCAATCATAAGTGGGAGATTAAAATGTGTATACTTACCGTCTCCTGAGAGAGCGGTGGTTAAATTAGCCTGTTTTATCAAGCTCACCAAGGTACTACCGTTATTAGCCGATAACACGTCAAATAAACTCTGCATGCCATGACAGTAGGCTAGACAACTGACCTGAAATAAACCCTGTTCGGTGAGTTCTCTGATGTGCTTATAGCCAAAATATATCGGCCTTAATTCATATACTAAACAAAAGCTGCTAATAGTATCAAAGTTCCTTTGCGTTTTAGCTACGTCATAAAACGCACAGTTTTTGTGGATTAACAGAAGTCCTGCTGGTATTAACTTTGACAGAAGATTGTGTCTAAGAAGAGCTCTTTCAGTTCCTACAAGACGAGACGAAAGTCGCCTTAGTTAGTCTTATAAGCAAGACAGCTTTACGAATCCCCGTATGGCAGATGCTGTAAACGTGATAACTTTAGCAAGACTTGCCCTGTGAAGAGTTCTGTCAGTTTATACAAGACGAAAAGAAAAATGGCCTTATGTAAGGCTCTGATAACATAATAGTCTTAACAATGCTTGATGCCTACGAAAGGCTCTATCATTTTCCGGAAGACCAGAAGAAAATGGCTTACCAGCAAGACAACTTTAGTTAACATGATGACTGCCTGACCACCTCAAGTAGAAGATCTCAAACCAAATGACAAGACTTCATCAAATTTCCGATTGGTCTCTTATCATCGGCGATTTGGTGAAATCATTGACCTTATCTGTTCAGCTGTCAAATGTTGGTGTTTCTCCCGTCACCCACTCTTATCTTGTCTTAGCCTGAATCATGCTGACGTGGCTAAGATTACAGATGACAACCGAGCACTCGATTCACCGCAGAAAAAATCTGAACTATCTGAGCAGGATTAATGTCCACGGGGAGCCTGAAGATGGTCGAAAGATTATTAAGCGACTATGGTCCAAAAAAGAAAAGAGTTGATTTATATCCATCAGAAGCCTTGAAATCGAAAGAAGATGTACAAAATGCCTGCATCTGATTGGTCACGCTGTGTCGGCCAAGCCATCCAGTATGCAGTGATGTAATTTTGCTTTTGCAACAGCATTAGCATGAACAGCGATCGCGCTTCAACGTATACAGGCTGTAGACACTTTGTGTAGACGTCGTTCCATGTCAGCAATTCAAATCTGCATCATTGTCAGAGAGAAACCGGGTCAAATTTCGACGGCATTATCTTGGCCTTTTCTGATATTGTTCCCTTGAACTCCTTGTCAGCGATCAAGCAACATTAATCACAATCTTCGGACAGTAGCCCACGCACAAAAAGCTAAAACAGTCTTTTTATTTGATTCCCTTTAAGTCCAAAGGTTGGCTCGTAGGAGATGATCTAGTTCCAAAATAAAGAATTATATAAAATTTTAGATAAAGAACATGCCGGTTTGATAAGAACTTTCAGTTCAAACTGTCCCATTTCGACTGATTAGATAAGTCAGACCCCTTCCACGTGATCGTCGAGCCCCTGTGAGCTGAATCAATAGATTCCAGATCCATTCTCTTGCCAAGTAGCGGTTGAGTTGGGACGACTTTACTACAATGATCTTGTTACTGTTCTGTATCAGCGCGGCTTTCGCCCAGACCACAGTCATTGATGTGCTTCAACAACAAAGGGCCACAACTCTGTTGAAGTTTATCGAAGATGCTGGTTTGACTGATACCTTGAAAGGAGCAGGTAAGTGATGTTTTGTCTTGTCCATATCTTCCGTCTTCATTAGCTTATTAGGTTCAATACAATAGTATTTTAGGGCTTCTTTTATAGATCTTTGGCACCCATAGCAGAATGCCCTGAAGAGTTCACAGTTGCATCTGGCAAAATGATTTAACCGGATTTATCAAAACTGAAACCTTTCATAAAATATGTCCGAGCTTTAATCGAGTTCTTTCATTTTTTTCAGGACCATTCACAATTTTTGCCCCAAGCAACCGAGCTTTTGGTCGACTTGATGCTAACACCACAGCTGCCCTGGCCGCTGATAAAACTATGTTAGCTAATGTCTTGAAGAACCATGTCGTAGCTGATAATCTGAGACGAAGTGATATCAGAATGAACGAAAGACAAGTCACCAGTTTGGCTGGAAGCAAAATCAGATTGAACCATTATATTTCTACTGGGGTAAGCATAAGCATGTTTGTAGGTTCAGTCTTGGGATGGATGTATTGGCCTCGGAAGTGTTTATAAAGGGTGGATTGTAGCCCTGTCAGCTGGGAAAGCAAATAGTCAGACGAATATATCCCTGTATTGACCAGCTTTCTTTCCGTACCAATGGAAGTGACGGGCGAGGTCCTTAATTTACGAACCTCGAGTATTTGTGCCCGGAGTGTACCTACGAGACCCTTTATGGCTACTTGAAAAGCTTTTAGGAGATGGTGTTCAAAGGTTTGGGGTACCAGGAGAGTGCATGAATGTCAGGGTTTTGGCACTTTGCTCCACCTGCATCCGCACTCCTTTCTCTCGTGTATACATGGTATCTTGCACATTTTTTCCAGGCATCCACCGCTAATGGAATCCAAATGTCCACCACCGACCACACAGCCAGTAATGGAGTCGTTCACAATATAAATGGCGTCATCCCTACACCAGCTGGTAGTATTGTCGATATCGCTAAAGCCGATCCTGAACTCAGTACTCTTGTTGCTGCTGTTACAGCTGCTGGACTTGGTACCTTCTTGGCTGGTAAGTCTCGTATATTGTTACAATGTCACCCATAGCACATAACAGTACTGCTATAGATATCGTTAAAGCTGATCTCTTACTATGATGTTTGAACTACCAGAATCACGTGACCACATGAATATCTGTTCATCGTTCCGACAAACAATGGCTGTCATTAAATACCGTGATGTGTCCACGGTAGACCGTTTGCACTGGTCGCCACTGTTATTGCCTCTGGGGACTAGGAGTTTGAAACGAATGATATGTACGAGTGAAATACGGTACACGAGCTGTTTTCGTTTTCAGATCAGAGTCCCATCACTGTTTTCGCACCAACCAATGATGCTTTCAATGAACTTGGTTCAGATGTAGTACAGAAAATCCTCGCTGATAAAGATTTACTTAAAAGTAAGTAGGTTTGCACATTGAAGAAATTTCGCTAAGGTTCTTTCTGGTAGGGTTCAGAGCAGTAGCTGCACGAGAAGATTGGTGCTGCGAAGGTGGCGTATATTGGATGGTTGGCATTCGTTTTACTGAATGTGACATTTCATAATCCTGGTAGTATCGCTGAAGCAGGTGGGGGATGGCGTCTTATCAGTCGGATGGGGCAATAATCCGAGGTTCAGTTAACGATCTCTTTATAGTCGGAAATCGAACTTGAGTAGCTAATGCTGCTGTAGTGTCAGAGATGTCGCCAATGTACATTTCACAGAGTTGTCCATCATCATCATTCTAATCATGTCAGAAAATTAAGACACAAATTATTTTATTGTCGTCTGTTTTAGCTATTTTGACCTATCACGTGATCCCAGGAAGTCTCTACACAGCCGGCTTCCACAGTGCTAGTTTACATACCTTCGATGAAGCCGACCGAATCAGACTCCACAAATTCTTTGTTTGTAAGTAGATGTGCTTTTACTCTGGGGTGCTGGGGGGAGATGAAGGGGTTGGGAGTGGCGGTTTAGATGGGCAGCTAAGGTAGATTTGGTGATATGGAAAAGGGTAATTTTGTAATGTAGTCTACAAGGTGGTCGGTTGAATTATTGATACGGGGTTCACCTTTCTTTTGCAAATCTGCCCTGATGGTTAAAGTTCCCTTTACAGAGATACCAAACATCGCCGAGCTTGAGAGACATGAAAGCTTTTTCCCCGGGAAATGTTCATATTGGATCCCACCCACTATCTGTACATGTATCTATCTATTTCAATTCCTTAACCTATACTAGTGATTGTCTTGTAATCTATCGAAACGTTGTATTTTCCAGTTGGATATGAAGTAGATAGCGCCTCAATCGCTTCCCAGAACATCGCTGCCACCAATGGTGTCATCCATAAACTTAAATCAGTTTTAGTTCCATCTTCGGTTTCTGACAAGGTTCAAGCTTTGATGCCACAAACCACCGTTGCCCCCTCTACATAGACGACAACTTAGATTTGGTAGTTTCTCTCAATAAAATATTTTCATAAATCAATGTTCGTGATTTAGTTCACTGTAGATTCCAGGGGCGGGGCAGCCTCCCATAACTGGGAGTACAAATAGAGGCAGATTGACTTTATAGGGGGGTTGAGATTCCAAAGAGATTCCATGGGTTTGGGAAGCCTACGGATGGGTGTAACCGATCGTTTATTTCGGAGTACGGTCCGACAATTGTTCAGGTGGGTGGTGAAATTAAAACAGTAGTTAAAGAAAAAATAAATCTTTTTAATAAATTAACAAAACGAAATGATGTGAAGTAAAATGATTATGCATAGTAACAAAATTCTCGCTTTAAAAAATTGTACGAATGTGTAAAAATTGCACAAATACAAGTTAACTTGCATATAATATTTTAAAATCACAAAGAACTATACTGTATGTCCATAATGAGTTTTGTACAGCACAGAAGTCTGAGAAGATAAACGTAAGTTTGCGACTGAAATTTCAGAAATATTTTAGGTGCCCCCCATCATAGCCATTACCAGTTATGTATGGTTGCGAATAATAAAAGTGGTCATGAGTTACGAACGCAACTATCATACAACTGAGTTAGGGATTGCGTTCGGAACTTATGACCGCTTTTGTAAATTGGCAACCATACACACCTGGTAATCGCTATGATGGGAGGGCCACACTCGTCATGAAAATCTTTCAACAAATGATTTAAATTTAAATGGATGGATTTAATACACATTTTGATTATTGGATGTATTTCACTTCGAGAGCACATGTAGCCATTGTTATCCTGTCCTACTTTGTCTAAGAACAGCTACGACGAAAGATGTCTGGGTGTCAGAGGCTAGAGCACGTGAAGTTCTTGTGGTTATTCCACGTTCAATATCACAAATAGGCTCTTAGAAATCAGAACGCTTCACTATAATATGGACGAGCATTTAGATCACAATACGATGCTTCGTGCAGCATCAATATTTCATCCACAATAAGTTTTGAGCTTCATTCAGCTTAGCGTTTAGCGCTTCTACCAAAGTTGATCTGAATTACCACATAGCATAAGACGCCTATACGGCGATGCTTACGGTACGATTAAGTGTCACAAGATATTATGATTGCTACACTGAAACCTATTGCACAAACCCGTTGTGATGTCCCAGCTACTGATCGTGGGGCTGACATGCATCATAATTACGCCACAAATCTAAGCATCAAGCACCGAAGTTACCTTTAGACTAGATCCAAATAACAGGGTCAGTGTTCGGAATATATATAGCAAGGTGAAGAGGCTGTCACTAACGCGCTCGAGTTATTACAAACGTTAGTAACTATCACCAATATGGCGGAGCTATCACAAATGCAAGGAGCTATCAACAACACAACAGAGAGACGTTATCAACACCGCCAAGCAGGTAATGCCAATTTAAACGAGCCAAGAGCTATCAACAACCTGTCGGGGCTATCACAAATGGTCAAGACCAACGTCACTATGTTAACCACACACGTACAAGGCTTAGCAAGCGTAGCACCATGTTAAAGAGGTTTCTGGTTTATCACCAAGTATGAGTGTAATCACCAAATATGAAGGGACTATTACAAATGGACAAATATCATAAGATATCGCCACCCAAATACAAAGCTTCGCCAGAGTAGTACCAACCAGAGTTAATCACCAATTTAAGGCGTTATCACAAGATATCACTTAAGGTTATCACTAAGTATATTTCAACCTTTAATCACTATAGAGGGGGCTATAACCAAGTTAAATGTGTCGTCATTTGATAATCAATACCGGGTAGACGGTACTCCGGTACGGGATGAGTCAAAACCGAACCGGACATAGCGTCTTGTAACACTCCGTATTCAGGATCGTATCTATCAACACGAGACGTTACATCCGGCGCACAACACTCTGAAATATCATTAAGCAGGTCATGCCGACATTCTCCATGGATACAAGCAGATGTCGCTGTTCTAAATACGTCATCAGACTCGGTTTCAAACGATAAATTGTCATAAGGAGGCGGACTAAATTCTTTATGTTGGTCCTCGATTGAATATGGCGGTAAGTTAGCACCGAATGGAGGAGTATAGACTTCTACGTCTGAAGGAGAACTTGATGACTGAAGTGAAAAGAGAGAAATACATAAAAAATGTAACAAATGATCATCGAATGCCATAGAAAATAAACTAATTTCCCAAGTCCAATCATGGTGACGAGCAAACGTATGCAAATTAAGTCGGCTGGCAAAAAAAAAATTCGCGAAAAAGTTTTTCAATTTATACGAGTAGTTATTCAAACTGTAAAACACAATGAACAGTTTTACGTCCTTCTTCTGCCCGTGCTTGTGCTAATGAGGACCGGTAACAAAGGCAACAATGTCAAGGAACTTACTGGTTTGTACAGAAATTCATAAGTTCCTCTTCCCTCTGTTAATTCTTGGTATTGAGAAACAACACAGGCAAAACAATAACACTGAAATGTAAAACAACAGATTTAAACTAGAGTCAAAGAGTAACTACTTGGAAAAGATAATCCTTGAAAATCAATGGAATGGAGTACGTATTTTATAGGTTTGGCAAAGAGTTTTGCCGGCGAAGCAATTCCATTTTCATTTGGGTTCCAACTTGCTAAATATTTTTTCCTTCATTTTCAATGTCCCTTCGAGGTATTATCAAGAAATTAAGTTTGACTTACGTTAGCTACAAGACGTAACATGTAAAAACATACAGATATTATTTCCCAAGATTGTAACTTCTGAAAAACACAAGATAATATCAATCATTAATTTTTGGAACACAAGGATTGCTTCATATAAAGGAAAGACAATCGCTTTTGCTACAAATTCTGAACCAGGCGGTAGGAAGGCTCAGTTGGATTGTTTGAAGTCTCGCGATTAGATAATCTCGTTCCATTCGGCTATCCTAGACAGTTTCCGTAAAGTTGAATCTGTCTCGGTGATGAATGGGTTATTTCGTTGTGTCTTCTCGAGCGAGACTCTTTATTTCCGACAATTTCAGTGTTATGCACCAAATTTATATATCTATCTGTATTTAGATTCAACTGGTTGTCTTGAAAATTTGGTTTCCTACCTTTTCATACTCTAGATGTACAGTGGTAAGAAGAGCAACGGCTCCAGTTTCATATAAAACAGTAACAACTAGTACATAGATCCATGGTAACATCAAATACCTCTTGTCCTGCAATATATGATTAACATTTTGACACATATTCTCTTCCGTACGCATGTAATCAAGATTGGCACATATGCAACAAAATACTGACTCAAATAAGTATGGCCATTTTTGGCACATATCCTCTTCCATATACATGTAATTGGATGGATTTCATGCAACAGGAAACTGATTCAAATTAGTGTGGTCATTTTGGCACTTATCCTCTTCCATAATCGTAGAAGCTTGTGCATTTAAGTACTTATAAATATGATTCGTTTTTGTCGTAGACATGTCCTGTAGAAATGCTAATTAATACAAATTTTTTAGCATCTCCTGAACATTGTACAGACGCCAACCAATACTATTGCATCGCGACGTTGACAGTTTACCCATTATATTAATACTATACTATTCACGAATTGCACTGGACAGAAGGGTTCGACAATTTACCTTATCATTAAGTGATTGAGCTAATTAATGTAATTAAGAACCCGCTCAATTTCATTACGAGCCTATCATTTCATTAATAGGAGTATTGCCAGATGCCAAATGGTCAATAAAATATACCATGCCAAGCACTGCTGTGTACGAATTGGGATCGTTTCCAGTGTTGTAGAGCAAGAGGTTAATAATAATAATACTACGTAGACTATAGATGTTTCTACAGTGCAGTGGCAGAACTACGAGGTCCTAAATATTGTTGGCAAATGCAGTGCCGATCTATGTTGAAATAGGTAGGCCCCTATGGAGGGCAATCCGTGACAAGAGAAATTTACATGAAAATGCCAAAATTTCGATACATGGATAGATGCTTAGGGATCCCTATAGTAAAGCACTACTAGTGCATTCGGGGGCTGTGGTTTAAAGAGACTTACCATGTAAACTCCAGGAAGCAGGATCAATGAGACTGCTATTAACAACGAGTATAGTACAAAACCAGCATAGATGATTCCCTTAAATTCTGAAGAAAGAAAAAATATGTTATCACTGACTATCGTGTCCAACTAGTAAGCAAGTGCTTGGCACAATAGCAGTTTTCAGCAGAAGGACAACCTGGTATCACTTTAAGAGAGTTCACATACTGTTTATTTTAAATTGGAAGGGTCTCTTCAGAGTCCACATTACTAAAAATGTAACTAGTAAATACAATAATGCACCTGATAGTATATAATCTACTGTGGTTGGAATATTCAAGTGATATTTACCTATAGATTTACTGATAGCGTCTAGCGCTATATACCGGAATAGATAAAAACCTAAACACACCACCGATATTACCTGAAATATAAGATTAGTTAATTTAAAGATATTTTCAAGATATGAGTGTAAGAACAGTGTTGCACAGTAAATGGGAATGCCCAGAGTCATGGGTGGTAGGGGCGCTGGTTGTAGCATCAATAAAAATTATTCCGAGTAGCAATTGAACAAAAATACCAACTCTTGACCCTTGGAAATGCATGGTTATTTTAGTGTTTACATCATACCGGTACTATAAATTCTAAGAGTACGTCAATTCGCCTTAGTCAAGCTGTCCATAGTCAACTCGTCCCAGTCGTCGGATCCCAGTCAATTAGACCTTAAACAATTGGTCACCCCGGTGGCTCAACTACCGTAGGGATTGGTTGAACCAAGTCCATTAGGAGTGGAGTCCCCAATCAACATGAAAAAATTATAAATGAGTGAAATAGCATTATTAAAGACTGAAAAAATCGGCCATTGAAATGCATAAAATTCGAGGTGATGGGGCCTTGCATAAAATTCCCGGGGTGGGGCCTCCACTAATTTAGTTGAAGCACTGGGTAAATGCTTTGGTTAAACGAAGTCATTAAGTCAGTATTAATTGTTTGTAATAGTAATAACTATTTATGATAAACATCATATACTCTTTTCTTTTCTTCAAATATATGAAAAGATTTTCGTGTGCGTTTCCTTTTGATCAACCACGACTCGCGTTCGTCATAACGTTTGTTTCTTTTCATGAATGTTGTATTGCGTTTTTTAAAATTATAATTGTTTTATCTTCATTGTAAAAGTAAGAAAATACTTTAAAAAGAATCTTGTGTCGTTATTTAACGGCGTGTTGTGTACGTGCCAAGGTGAAAGACTGCGGGAAGTATTTCAAAACACCAATTGTCTAACTACATACACAAACAAACGGACGTGCATTTGTTACTGGTTAGTAACTGTTTGTAACATATTAGTCGAACATGTTACATGGTCGGAACTAGTTCCGGAATTGTGAGGTCAGATATATAGGTCAAGGTCAATTGTAGGAGGTCAAAGACACATGTACGTATCTTTTGCAATGGAAGCAAGGATCGGGTTGACCAAATGTATCGAAAATCCCCACTGTACACCGGCACCGTACTTCATCGATTGGCACCTTTAAAAGGAACAAGGAAAACTTGTTTCATGTCAGCACCTCGGCATAGAATAGACACGATGCACTCGATTCATGACGAGAACAATTACTTGGAAGTATCGGAAACTCTGTACAAATCACATAACAACCGTGCGTTCTTCTAATTCTTTAAAACGCATCATGTCAAAATATGTTTAAAAACTCAAATTGACAAAAGCACATTGTTGTCTCATATGTTTGGTCTTGGTGTTCGACCTCACATAAATCTAGATTTTTCAGTTTCAAACTTGTATTCGTAGCATCGGAGGATAAATATTTAAGATGCATTTCCGCATGTGCGTGAAGGTCATGTCGTTATTCGGTAGTTAAAAGACCAGATTTTCTATCTATCTGCACGTTTTGGTTTGGTCCAACTTGTATTTTCTTCCTTGAAACAAAAACTAGTTTTCTACGCTTTAATGTTAATTAAAATATTTGTTCTTTTCTCGGTTTCTTATGGTGAATATGTCACGAGTTGAATAGATAAAGAGAAAAGGTTACAACAGACAACCTTAGCGAACACCGACTTGAACTTATTCGTTTACTGTTAAATTCTTACATGTACAATTGTTGAGGATTGGAGAAGAATATAGCCTACAATATAATGAAGTGAAGATACAAAACTGTGAATGTGCTTAGCAGAATGTTCGGTCCTTTAGAAAGACCAATGAAGACACTCGTGAAGCTTTGGCAGATTATTTCGAAAATTATCGGTCCTAAGAACATCCTTGAAGATAAATTATAGCTATCAACCTTAACGATCAACAACTTAAGCTTTCAACTGGCGTATTAAGATACAATATTTTGTATATAAAGTCTTTTCGGAAGTTTTTGATGGTCAATTTCGGTGGTAGTATTATCAATTTGTTTAAAATCTAAAAAGTCAAATTAAAGTAAAAATATTGTCCTTGAAAATCTAAAAACGTACCACTGTGCAACACATTTTAAGGAGTGTTTCGAGGTGGTCACCTTTAAATCAAAGTTGACTTTTCGCAGTTTTAATGAGATAGTAGGCATTAAAAACCCCCTGTCACCAAGATCATATCACGAGCCCCCGGGGCAGCCAGCACGCCTCAACAAATACTCATCAGTTAGTCTATTGAACCGACGAGAAATGGCTTACATTTTGACACCAGGGGGACAATTGGACTGTCTAAATCTTGAACAAATATGGCGGATGCTCTGTTTGGGTCCAAGATCTGGACATTGCTAATGGTCAGTCATAAATGGTATACTAAGGATACTTTTTACACCTTTTCGATGCCCATATTATTTTTGAACGTTCGGGAACCAATCAGAACTGCATAGTCTACCATCGCCTCACGGGTGGGCCATGAGAGATATTTCCAACGCAGACAACGAGTCGTATCAGGAGAGGTAGTAGATAAGCCCAGTCTGGGTCCGCCATAATGGTCAAAAGTATAAAAGACAGCGAGTCATAACAGAAGATAACTGGTCCCTTTCGGAGTCGAGGTAGTAGACTACCCTTGCCTGTGTCCGCCAGTGGCTAAATGTACAACCAAAGACAACTAGACGTACAGAAGAGGGCTGGTCCCTGTTGGAACTGACGGTATTAACCAACCCTAACCTGGCTCCGCCACGGTGGCTAAATGTGCAACCAAAGACAACGAGACGTACAGAAGAGGGCTGGTCCCTGTCGGAATGTGACACCAAGGACAAAGGTCATGACCTATTGTAATGGAAATTAAATATTTGATTGTCACCCGGTTCAATTGATAGAGTCAATAGACCTACATTTCTTCGACTTCTCTTCACTTCATCGGATTTCATTATTTACTGGGTAAGGCTCTTTGAATAGTCGCGTCTCCTATGTGGGTGGCTCGAAAAAAAGGGGGGGGGATTATTCAAAAGCTGAGAATATAATTAGCTTTGTGCTAATGCAGGGTCCAAATTCCAACATAAATATTGCCAATTAGTGTTCACTATAGGACACATTTGTCGGTGAATCAATAACGAGAAAATAACAGAGTAGTATCTCATTTTATGGACTACCATTATATCTGATGACATCATTTCCTGAATCATGTTATATGGATTGGGTAAATATTACCTTGATTAGATCAGAGGTGAACCAATCTGTCATGACTAGAGCCTAGAGGGCATCTCGGGTTCAATCCGTAAAGGAGTACTATCCAACCTCTCAGGATGACCAAAAAATTTAAATTTTTAAATTTGACCAGAATGAGTCTTTGACTTAACTCGTGGCATAACTATACGACAGAATCCCTCTATAATCTAATACATTAGAGAGATCGTTTAGTTGTCATTGGTTTATTTTTTCATTGTAGAGAAATATATTAATGTAAACAATAAACAGGGTGTTGTGAAATATTTGGATGTCATCTTATGATTGATGTTAATAATATTAAAACAAAGACAATATGTACAGTTTATAAATGTCATATTTCATGCATGATAGATATATCGTTGTGTGATAACTCATATCTTTTCATGCCATGCCAACCTCCGCCTCGCTTCTCACAGAATGCAACTGACCAACTATTCAAAGTAGGGGAGGTGGGGGGGGGGGGTTGGGGTTGGTCGACCCGGCGGTGGAATAGAATCTGGGAACAACTGGTTTTTCAACGACTGCTCGCAACTGTATCCGAGAAAATCTTGGAACTTCGGACGACGGGGGAAACACGTCGAAACGTTGCATAAAACTTTAACCAGTGATTGTTGTTCCATAAAGCTGTGTTCATCTAATACCTTGATTGCAAAAGTCACCTTTCTTGTATCGCGGAATATAGGTATTTGATTGGATTGTACGCAAGTAAAAACAACTAATCAGAGCCCTAGACAGAAAGATTGTAAACATTATGGTTTGTTACTTCTGTGAAATGCGAGGTATAAGACGAAGTTGGAAGTTGGAAGATGGATCCATAGAGGCTTTAAGATGCCTGAAAATCCCTAGCTTGAGATTCGCATATGTCACAAGTTAGTGGTTTACGTTTGCTACTACTGAGACTACTTGAAATTCTTACATTAATATTGCCAGTCCATTTAAAATATTGACCATTCTAATGTCACTGACGTCTCTAAGAAAATATTATTTTAGAGGGCCGAGTAAGGGCCACAACATTTTCTAGTTGGGCCACAGGTAATTCTTTCACAATGTACAATGTTGAAAGAGGGGGGGGGGGGCATGCCCCCGTAGAAACGCCACTGTTTAATATCTAACAGTTATTGTTCATGAACGTTTGGGGTCAATTCGGTAAAGGTCGTGAATGAACTGAATTACAATAGAGAGTTAAATCGAACCATACAGTGCTATATAGAGCGGTGAGTTGATTAAAGAATTTAATACAGTCCAGTAAATTCTAATATCACCTATTAACAAGGGACAGAACGGGCTGGTATTTCATTTAATTTTCATCTGAATCGAAGTCTAGGTCACTAATATTTATTAAACGGACTGAAACGCTATTTTCGGGTTTGATTTCTGTCTTGAGTATATGTAAATGAAATGAAATGCATTAAGGAGCATCAGCACCAAACGGGCTATATAGCTCCAGTTGAGTATATATGTAAAGTCACCAGATATACCACATGGTACGAAAATCGAATTGTAACTTTCTAACTCGGATAATTCTGTTCACACATGGATTTGAAGGACCAAATTTCAACAGTGAGCTATTCTATTTTTTGAGAACACTATTACTGATTAGCTTAGCTAAAAAAAAAATCCTGTTTCCGAGACTAAGGTGTTCAAACTGGTGGCAAACCTATCGCTTAGAATATTGCACGAATTAATTTTATATCAAGAGTTTCGATATAGCTTTTCCGATATTTACAGATAAAATTTGTACTACAAATTTGTACAAATCAAAGTTTATAAAAAATGGATTCTCAGACGAAAAAAGGAAGGAAATAATTAATATTCACCTTAAAAGCCGATTTAGAGTTGTTTAATAATGATTATCTTATATAATCCGATTGTCTGGTCTTAAAATACATGGGGATGTTACATTTTAAAAATAATAATAAAATAAGAGTTAAGGGCACAGAAAGGGTTAATCTATGATTTGAACCCACACTTTTATATAAGAAGTATAATAAACAACAGATAGCATCTTAACGACGGGAGCTAAAAGGGTTAAAATTAGGGTACCTGTTATCTCGATTCGATCTGAAGCTTATCTATGATTCACGTTAAACAAGGGATTGACTTGAACACAAAGGGGCTATTTTTTACAAGCCGACCCTAATTATAGGACCAGGGTTTCAATAATCACAGGGGCTTGTCGTTTTTACAATTTATTTACATCTTTTGAAAGTTTCCTTTCCCTTCGCCAAATTTTTCTATGATGTGGCGATTTTGGAAAATGTTTTCGTTTATACTGTTAACAATGTTCGTAATGCCGACTTCAAATGACAGTAAGTTTGGTCCCTGCCAATTTGAAACATTTCAGAATGTAAATAATGATCTTGAAGTACGTTTTCGTTGAAGTATGGCAGAACAGGACAATGGATATTAATTTTGTCAAGTGATACAGATAGCTGGAGTTGGTCTCATAAGTGATCTTGATAGCCTGGGTCCGTGTTGTTTTTGGTCCGAGTTAGGTGGGAATGTAGGAATGAGGGTGTGTGTGTGGGGGGGGGGGGGGGGTAGCTTTATTGTAAAATATTTCAAATAGAAACTCACCAAAAGTGTAATATCCACAAATAGCACTACCAACTCTGGTGTTGGGCCAGCATAAAAACTTGGTTATAATCGCCATTACGCTGGTCACTTATTGTCCACCTCTCTGGTCACTTGTATCTCATATCTGTCCTAACAGCACTACACGGTCTCACTCACGAAAGCACTGGAAGAGCAATTCGGTAGACATGAGAATAATTTGCCATATTGAAGAAGACTCTTCTAATTATCTCATTAGCAGGTAAATAGCTTCTACTCGTTTACAACGGTCATACTTTCGAAAGCAATGGTCAAGCACTTTTCGGTTAATAGGAGATACTTTAAATGTACTAGGCTTAAACTAAGACGGACTGAAAGATTGAGCACAATCAAAATGTCCCAAAATCCAAAATTCCAAATTGTTTTACCCAAGCACAATAATGACAGTTATCCACAAAATAGCAATGAAAGTTTACGATTAATCCAAAAAATACGTACATGTACTAGAACTAATCTTCATAAATTTTCCTTTCAGTTGAATATTTAAATTTTGTTTCAAATATAACAGATACACACAAAATTCGTAAAATATCGTCTGCGTGTGAAGTTGACGGAGGTCAAACTTGTTGTGAACACGACATACCTGTACAGGTATAAAAACATCCCGACACGCTTCATAGAATGTCACCCTTGATTAATGCAAGCTCTGACTTTATTATTCCGCTTCACATGTGAGTCATTACTGTTAGACCGTCTGGTAAACTACGGCTATTCAGGTAAGAACATGCTCGAATATCAGGTACTTTTAATATCACCAGCGCATGTGTATAAAATCCTATCAGCGTCTGGTAAATCCTGACAACAAAGGTGATAAAATACTCGAATATCAGGTACTTTTATTATCAAAAAGATAATATGTTATTGTATGTACAATCCCTACGCCGTCTGGTAAACATCGGCTATACAGGGGAGAATATACTCGGTTATCATGCCCAAGTGGAATAATCTGTATACTTACTTTGACTAAACCTTGACTATCTGAGAACATACTCGATTATCAGGTCCTTTAACTACAGTCATGTTTAAAATCTTAATCGAATATTACAGGTAGATAAAGTCTCGATTAACAAGCTGTTTGATCCTGTTGATTATAAGCCAATCCTAACTGTCAATCAAAAACAATAACACGAGAAGCAAAAGAACAATTAAAAGATTAGCCTTAATCAAAACAAAGCCACGCGATCGATTTTTCTACTTTCGTTTTTCTCTAATCATGGAGCCTGCAGTTTAATTAGGGATTAACGTCTACTCAACGTCAATTGATTTCTTCACAGCTGACTTCGGACAACAATCCTTTAATCCGTTGATTTTTACACATTTCTATTTTCACTGGAAAACTGATATATTATTATAATGAAGTTTTATTTATGACTGGTACTAATGCTAGACAAGCGAAAAACATCAGAGGAGGGTGATATGACTGGTGATAGCCGACTCATCGACAGTTGGAAATCTAACAAGAGCAGGCTTATGCCGCTTTCTTGGCAACATTTTGGTCATGGCACACACTGCATGTTGTTGCCCGTCTTCACTAGCCCGATTAGGTGCAGAACAGTTGGACGTAAAACTCCATTCATTCATTTCATTTTTATCATGAAATTAACTTAGTGACCCCGACCAGTGCTTTCATTTAGCACCTTAAAGCACATTGACCAACAGATCCATTAGCGTTTCTTTTGCAATACTTGGTTAAAAAGACCCTTTCGAGAAATTCGCTTTGTAAAGGCTATGTAAAATTTGGTCGACTTTCGAAAGCACTGCATGGTCGAGAAAAAGTTCAAATCTTAAAGTTGTTTGGAGCTTGACTCTTGGATCTAAGCCAAAGGAAAACTGGCTAACTACTACGGTCATGCGTGACGGGTAAGGAACCACTCGAGAGCACTTATGAGAATTGTTATCAATACTTTAGAAGCAAGAAAGTCCACCCAACATCCACACTCTTGCACCCTTATCATTCTACATTTTAGACCGCATAACCTACATCTATTCACACGCTGATTTGTACAAAAGTTTCACAGATTATTTTCATAATTGTATCAAAAACAAAACACAAGACACAAAAGATTTGATTTAATACAAATTTAATACATCAAATGAAAAATACGGAAATTTTGAAACATAAAAGTTAGGGTAGTTTAATTGAAATACACGATTCATGTTGCGTTTATTTATCTGCATTGTTATAACACGTTTTGTAAGTTATTTTGGTAAAACTATAGAAGTTAAAAATAAAAACTATAGAATTTGGAATGGCTTTATTAAGAATGTTTAGAAATTAAGTCATTCATTTCATGAATTGAAATAAACAAATACATAAAAAAGAAATTCAAAAAACTGAACCTGCGGGTTTTTTTTGCAAATCAATTGAACATTATACACTTGTGATTATTATAATGTCAAAATTTATTAATAGAATTTCATTTTAAATATCAATTGATAAAAATTGCTTTATGTATGAAACCATTGTCATATCTCATGTTTAAATGCATTTGTGAATTGGAGTAACAATAGCAAATGTGATATATTTTTGATTGCATTGTATCTAAAAATAATTTAGGATGAAAATAATTACTATAGATAAGGTGAAGGGACTATAATTTGGTACACATGTAGGAACCGTATTTTTTACTCTACTTAGCTCATCGTGCCCCACACTCCTTCGTGTACCACGAGCCAAAAACTGAATGAAAAAATGGGGAAAAACGGGAAAGGCCAGAGATGCTATGCGAAGATGAATTTAACTTAACCGTCGCACAGAAGAATATGTAGAACTAGTACTAGTAGAACAGCCATGTAATCGCCAGATGACAAGGGTTATAATAACTCTGAAGTCACGATTGTGACGCCACAAAGCGCTCAGTTTACATGGAATTGCAAAACCCACAGACGTCTGACTGAAAATAGGAATGTTGTAAATCGGTGCTATCAGTGTCTCTGATACACATAAAAATTTAATCTGCTGTACACGTTAAAAATGGAGCTGCAGAAGGACTCTCTTTGCAGTACTGGCAAAGCTGCAAAATGGCAGGCCATAAAGCTTTTGACAGGAATACTATTTTGGCTTTATCAATGAAAAAATTAATTCATTATTTTGAAGGAGTTTATTATGAACATAACAAAAAATTGACAACAACAATGTTAATGATAGTGTTAGTAAAAATTAACTATTTCTACCATGCTTCACTCTAGCCAGTTTATTTCATACCGCTAATAATACATGATAAGGGGCTCCGCTCCTCTCGTATTTATAAAGGTCAATTTGACCACAAAATTGTGTATGTTCCGGAGATGTAACTGAGGCAAATGGTCCATGTGAACATCAAATTGTCTGTATTGTAACTATAGCAACCATCACGTCTGTTCCGCAGAAAGCATTTCAACATCATCTGATTGGTTCTCTTTAAAATCACTCACACCATTCTGGAAAAAAACAAAATTGACATGTTTAAATCTCTAATCTCCCTATTACTTATATTCCACTACTGTTATCATAAAACACTGTTCAAGAGGTGGCTCTCTCGGTGAGTGAAAACCGTTACCATTGAGAATTTCTCTCCCAACCCCCATTCTCAATCTAAAGCTAAGTAAAACCCACCTCAAAAGTTTGAAGTACATGTTCACAGAGTTTGTTTAAATCTTCCAGACCTTTCTTAAATATATCAACTGCAGGCCTCCCTGAAAAATAAACAGTTAGCACATTGTACAAGAATTTGTAAGTTTTCTTCTAATTCACTCAGTATACTGACCCTTCTTTCAAATCCAAAAGCATCTGAGTGAGTGCTTTAAATTTTTCTATGATGGGAATGGCTTACACAAAGGCTTTCCTGGTATCCAGTTCTCTAATATTATGAGTTTTAGAGCATTGAAATTCCTTTGTCAATAGAGGGATTTAATAGGGCAGATTTCAGAGCCAAAATCCCTGTTAAACCCTTCAACTAGTTATTTTTTTAAATTCAGTGTATTGTAAACCATACCATTCTTAGAACTGAAATATTTGTATGTTTTAACTAACTTACCTCGAGTTTGAATTCTAAAATTAATTTTATTTTCAGATGGATGAGGAACTGTATAGCCACAGAATTCTACTTCTGGACTGAAAAAATACAAGACATAGACATTTCTTAAAGAGATTTTTTACAGACAAACGTGGACATGAAATGAATCATGATATCTTAAACAAATAGAATGAAGATATGAAGTGTACAATGGGGAAAATTTGGAAAGACAGTGGCACCTACTTGACTACTGATTATACAAGTACTTACTTTTTCATGATGATATATCTTAGTGAATTGCCCAAGGTATGATCTTCATTGTGCATGACAAATGTTTTACAAGATTCATCTTCTATCTCACCAGTCTCTATCTACAATATCAATAAAACAGTGACAAAATTTCACGGCCCATACGGTGCAGAAAAGAAAGGTGTAAAACTCCATTTATTTCCAGCATCAGCTATTACAATGTCATTATCAGAAAGATCTTTGCTACATAAGTGCATATCAATGCTATCAGTGTCAAAATCAAAAACAAAGTCAAAGTTAAGATTAATATTGAAAGTGAATGGCCGCTTTTGTTTGCGCAGGTCCGATTTGACTCAAAGAATAAATAGCTGTACGATGTGACATGTGGCCAATTTGACCAAGGCATCACATTTCTTAAAATATTAAACAACAAGACAGACAGTGGTTCAAGTTCCCTAAGAACTGATTTGTTGTTATTAAGATTTTAATTGCTTTTAAAAAAATGACAAATCTTGCGTTTACCACTTCAAGTTTCCGAGATTGACTTGTTTTTTCTTGTTCCATTTTCTCTACTTTTATTTTCTACACATGCTTGTTTCACTTCCGGTCAATAACTTTTACGGATTGACTCTGAACATAAGCACATACCACTTTCGATATTATGAATTTTTTGTCTAAACCAGCGCATTTATTTCTATAAATTTAGTACACTTTGAACAAATCTAAAACGAATTTAATAAATTGTCATAGTTTTTCTGTACGCAGCTGTATGTATAGTTTGTATTCTATTTATAATCCGTATTTTATAAAGTCATGTGCCATTTTGTCATTTCCGATCTTCAATAGTAAACAAACGCAGAAAAAAATTATTGAACAAGAAGAAATTCGAGGAAATTATTCAACCCTAGGGTTCAAATCCTGAGTCATTTAGTTGTATTTGCGATCAAGGTATTGAAAATAACAATGACATTCTTTCGATTGCTCTAATATTGATGCTATGTTTCTATTTTGATGTTTTATTTCCACCAATCAATGAATGATTCAATGGCAAAAAATAGCAATGACAATGATGGTTGAATTCCCTTTTTTTTTCACTCTGTATCTAAACATTTTCCTTTTCTGAGACACATAGATTTGTTTGAATAAGAAGAACATGTTTTTAATGGTAATAGCTTTCTTGGATTATATTTGGATTTTAAAGAAGGCAGTGGGTGGGCAGCACAATCTTGTTACAAAACCTATTGTCATCTTGGCGTTGATTGGTCGAAATTCATGCCATACCCTACAGTAACTTCATTGGGGTTTCTAGTTGTTAAACGCTAAATAGATTATGTCTCGCTAAATCCTGCTCTCAATATTTTGACCATGATATTTAGGCCATACCTGTTGTGAGTGTAACATAACAGGAGTCTATTTTACAAAACATAATGCTTATCAAAAACTAAGGAGTTGTTTTCATTATTTTTCAATGATGCATGATAGAAAATTAGAGTAGTTTCTATGACTATTTATTCAGTTTCAAATCAAAAATTAACTGCTTTGTTTTGTATGTTTTGTATTGTCTAGTGATTTGCCCATGTGTCTTCGCTGAATATCCATAGGCTCGCTTGCAGCTGTTACCAGTCTACCAGCTTGAAAATCGAACTAATTACTTTCATCACCTGATTGTAATATCATTACGAATCTCATTTGTATCTGTTGCTAATTCAGAAGTTATTAGCCTTTTGTGACAATGCTCAACTGAAAGATTGCTCAGTTACACTTTGAAATTTGTTGTTTGAAGTAAAGGAGTTTAGCATGAAACGTGACCAAATCACTTGTTTTTGCTAATTCAGTAGTTATTCGCTTATTGTGACTATGCTCAACTGAAAGACTGAAATATCGTTCCGTGGCACTTTGGAAATTTTCGAGAAATAGAGGAATGCAGGATGTGACCCAATGTGACAATGACCATCTAGAATATTGCTCCTTGGGACTTGAGATAAATTTTTGGATATTGATATTGTGACTTATAGCTCAATAGGACTTGTAGCTCAATAGGACTTATAGCTCAATAGGACTTGTAGCTCAATAGGACTTGTAGCTCAATAGGACATATAGCTCAATAGGACTTGTAGCTCAATAGGACATATAGGTCAATAGGACTTATAGCTCAATAGGACTTGTAGCTCAATAGGACATATAGCTCATTAGGACTTGTAGCTCAATAGGACATATAGGTCAATAGGACTTATAGCTCAATAGGACCTTATAGTGTTTTGATAGTTATTTGTGTGCAGTTTTTCTTTATGTGGTTTTTTTTGAATGAATTTGGATATGGAGTCCTATCAGAGCAAATTATGTGTTCAAAGGTGTCATATCTTATTCACTTTAAAAAAAAAACTTTCATTTGAATCTCATTTTGTGTTTGAAGCTCCTAACATTTTAGTTTTGATTCAAAAACTTAATTTTCCACCTTGTGGAGCCACTGGCCAATGAATCCATTTCAGATTATCCAAAGCAATGGTTGCTTATTATTTGTAGGGTCAACACAGACAGCTAATTTTGCCATTTTTTATTTCAGATTATCCAAGGCAATGCCTATTTTATTCGCAGTAGTTGCCCGAGGGGCGACAGTTTTAGCAAAATATGCCAGTTGTGCTGGTAATTTTACTCAAGTTACAGAACAGATATTAGCTAAAATATCTCCCGTAGATTCCAAGTTGACATACTCACACGGCAGGTAGGGGTGGTTTTTATTGCCCGTAGCTTTCATTGCTTTGACCATGACTGCAGATTACTTCATTGTCAGACTGCTTGTCAGACTGGGTATCGATTATGAAGTTTAGATCGATTAATGATGGCAGACTATCGATCAATCATTGATTAATAATCAACATATTTTAATTGGAAAACCCTGAAAGAATTGAATATAAGGCATGTCCAATGTTAAATTCTATGGGTTATTTTTGTATCATAGAAGTTATATTATTGCTTTGATTGGCAGTTTAAAAGTTGACTGTTGCTAAGGTATGTGCTGAAAGGAAACTATAAGGAAGGGGTTGCTCTCTGATATCTATATTCTCTATTTTAGTTATTTATTCCACTATATTTGCGAAGATAAAATTGTTTATCTCTGTATCACAGATGACGTAAGTTCCAACTTTATTTTGATACAAAAATCAGGAATTTTCTGAACAGAAGTGAGCACCCAAAATGATTAGAATTTTTACTCAAATGTAAATCACAGAAGCTCATCTCCTCAGCAATTAAGCTTGTAATGAAATTGAGATTTTTTCAATATTTGCAAACAGATCACAACACAGATCTAGATGTTTTTTTTCTTGTTTTTTGTGCAGGTTACTTCACTTGTCATTCATGATCCAACAAACTTATAAAAATTGGGATTAGTTTTATTTCCAAAATATAGATGGTACAGATTTTGGAATTGTTTTTGTTTTTTTTTCCAGGATTTTGATAGATCAAAGGCATTCTTGTATCTTAACGATATAAAAAAAAGGTAATTGGAATTTTTAATTTCTGATACATGATTATTCTAATTGAAACTTTGACAGATTTCATCAGTGTAAACCACTTTTTAAGTTAAAGTCATTGAAGTGTACTGATGTGTTTAAATTTCTTTAGTACATACCAATATGATTATTATTATGTTTTTCTCAAGGTTTCAGTCCCAATATGGAATTCGTGCTCAAACAGCTTTACCTTATGCCATGAACAGTGAATTTTCTAGAGTTATGGCTTCACAAATGGTAAATTTATTCATTAATTCATTCATTCATTTTCCATGTCCAGATATATGCATGGTCAATTCTGACTAAAAACTTATGCCACTCTGCAATTGGCTATACCAGTAAAGTTTCCTTTTAGAGAGTCTACATAACAAATACTAAATTGCTATTTTCTCAATTTGTTGACTGACACCACACTGAAATTTGCTGTCATTCAGTATCCCTTTAGAGACTCCACTTGGCTAATGACATTTAATGATATTTCCCCATACAGAAAGTGAGTATAGAAGAGAGAAGGGGGACTGGGGATGAGGATAAATTAGGCAATGTACAGAATCAGGTGGATGAATTAAAAGGCATAATGGTGAGGAATATAGGTAAGTTTTATATTAAATGATAAATGATTTACTACAGACATCACTTGTTGTATTTTACATACTAGTTAAATGATTTACTACAGACATCACTTGTTGTATTTTACATACTAGTTAAATGATTTACTACAGACATCACTTGTTGTATTTTACATACTAGTTAAATGATTTACTACAAACATCACTTGTTGTATTTTTCATACTAGTTAAATGATTTAGTACAAACATCACTTGTTGTATTTTACATACTAGTTAAATGATTTACTACAGACATCACTTGTTGTATTTTACATACTAGTTAAATGATTTACTACAGACATCACTTGTTGTATTTTACATACTAGTTAAATGATTTACTACAGACATCACTTGTTGTATTTTACATACTAGTTAAATGATTTACTACAGACATCACTTGTTGTATTTTACATACAAGTTAAATGATTTACTACAAACATCACTTGTTGTATTTACAGATCAAATAGCTGACCGTGGTGAGAGACTAGAATTATTGGTGGATAAAACAGATGATTTGAGTGCCAATGTAAGTCCTATTTTTCTGTATAGGGTTTTTGGCCAAGTATTTGTAAAACAATGAGGTTTAATATTATTAAATTTTTGATCTGAGTACTGCTTATATTGAATATTAATATCCTCTTAAAGCAGTGGTTCCCAACCTTTTTCAGCCTTCACAACCCTGTAGCAACCACCTGAACCTTTCACACCCCCAAAAAATTTCATCCACATTTCCAGCATGCGATAATGTGAGGTGCTCTATTAATTCAAAATAAATTCTTCTCCTACACCAGTTGGCCACACACCTGACACCCTAGTCCCACACCCCCAGGGGGTGAAAAACACCCCAGGTTGGGAACCAGGGTTTTAAAGTGATTGTTAAAAGGTTTTTCAAATCTGTGTATTGGTGTCATTGATAGTACCTTTTTATAATACCTTCCAAGTCATGCCTGGAGCACCATTGAAGATTCTATTTTCATCAAGAAAGTCTGATTCATCAGCCAGTCATTTTTAAAGAGCTCCAATCAGACCGGACAGGCAAATACATATAAATCAACAGTCCTGCAGTATTATGCAAACTTCTATCTGAAATTTCTATGTGTTTCAGGCAATATCGTTTAAAAAGACTAGTCGAGGTTTAGCCAGATCGTTATGGTGGAAGAATATTAAAATAACTATTATTATTGTCCTTGTTGTTATCGTAAGTTAAAGCTAATTGACAATTTCTATATTCACTGTTGAAATTGGAGCTTATACCCAGTTATCCATGGCACTTTTCAATGTTAATTTCTGACACTAGGTTTTAGTGCAATTTAATAACAACTTACTGTTTAGACTTTTCTTAGCAGCATGAAGACAGACAATGAAGTGTGCAAAGAGGAAAATTAGAGCCTCTTGTCGTACTTGAATGCCCAAGCTGTTATAAGTCCCTCCCATTTTGAATAAATGATAAATTATTGGTTATAATTTTAGGTGATACTGTATTTTATTATATCAGCTGCTTGTGGTGGATTGGACTGGCCGTGTACAAAATAATAAACTTTTTACACCATTCGTATTCCGTACTCTGTAAAATTATATATGCTGTGAACACCAATTGCTCTGTATAATTAAACTGTGTATATCAATTACTTAATGACACAAGCTAATCATCATTGACTAGTTGGAGCAAGGGCTAGAAATCTAAGACGCGGTACCCTTTGTGAAATCAATACAATCTTTCTTGCATGTGTCTAAACTCACAAAACCTTTGCTATATATCAAAATGCCATTTGTTATGTGTTTAAAACTCAATACCCTTTGTGAATTCAATGTGCTTTTTTTCACTGCTGTAGCATCAAGGGTTTAGTGTCTTATGACTCAATACCCTTTGTGTAATCAATATGCTGGTTTTATTGCTGTAGCATCACAGTACATTTGCTTCTAGTACATTTGTATAGCTAAATGTTGTTTATTATGTGTTAAAAACCCTTTGTGAAATAGCTGTAGCATCAGGGGTTTAATACCTTTTGTGAAATCAATGTGCTGTTTTGTATTGCTATAGCATCAATTGTTTAGTGTCTTATGGCTCAATACCCTTTGTGTAATCGATGTGCTTGTTTTCTATGCTTCTTGGTTGGACATCTTTCCAGTTGAACAACAATTATTTCTATGTTTTAAAAAATAATCATCTGGGAATGCCCCTTTAACATCTCCCCTATTATTGTTATTGTTATTTCTGAATTTTTGTAAAAAAAAATAAAACTTGTAAATAGATTTTATTTAATATTAAAATAGAAATTTAACACATTCTGAGATTTTGTTTTATGAAGCTGGAATTGAATAACACCACTTGGAAAACACTTAGAATCGACATAGGCAGGGGCAGGGACATATTTTCAGGGGTTGATTTGAGTCTTCAATATATGTAAATAGTCTTCCGAAGTACTATAAAAATGTAAGAAATCGCATAATTCCCGCAAAAATACCACTTACTGGGAATTTCACTTTCTATATATGTCTTTTCTATACATGGCCAAGTCTCAAGAAAAGACGAGTCGTCATTTTAACTTTCAAATAATAGACACCATTTGAGATTACAAGTGTTTTATAGTTAATATACATTATATCACGTGGTCTGTTATAAGTTACCCCCAACACAGGTAAGTTTTAACAAACAAAATTCAACTTTCTTCTTTAATCAACTTAAAAAAAGATTGTATTTTAGAAAAAGGATTTTGCACAAAAGATAAGAGTCGTTTAGGCTTTTCCAAAAACACAAATCACTTTTCATATATTAAGGTTAGTTTTTGTAAAATAGCAGAAATTATGAAAATTGTTACAACTAGCCCCGGTCTCCCCTAACACAGTTTATATGGATATCATAGAATTACGGTGGCTCACAAACGACATTTTCCACTTTTTATTTTGAATTAAAAACTTTTTTTTTAATTAGTGAAAATAATTATTACCTAGGTGAAAATAAATGTTTTTAATTCAAAATTAAAAGTGAAATATGTCGTATGTGAGCCACCGTAGAGAATATAAAAAAATATCAAACTTACTTTACTAGAGAATGGAAAAACTTCCTTACATTGTTAAATTTTGTCAAATTGAAACTAGAATTTACGGTGTGATGAACAGCATGTACTGTGAAGAAAAACTCAACAAGTGTCAGTGCGTGTATTTCATGTGTTTTAGCTTGTCTGTTTCTGTGAAAGTGATATAAAATGCTGTGGATTGTTGTAATGTTGATGTTCTGTCTTCAAACAGGTATTGTTATAATTAATATGATTACTGTCCGAAACAGCATTTAGAATCTCTGGCGGTCGGTACCAGCCATCTGAGAGTAGGGGCTTAATTCAAAATGCGACAGCTCTACAGAGGCGTCATAGTCGCAAGCCTCTCATGGTGCGTCTTAGAGGGTTCTCATGAGAAAATTGTCGAAAAATTGAATTCATTTGGTGTATTCTGACACATATTTTGGGGCAAAATCATACTTTTAAATTTGTTGAAAATAAAGTGGGGGTCAAACCAATTTTTCTAAATCTGCAAAATCAACATAGGGCTACTTCATCCATGTCATTCCCCCGCGAGTAAGGTTGTGTTGGAGGTGGGGATTACATTGTTTGTTTCCTCGAGAATTTTAAGAATAAGAGGCCCTAAAAACGCTGTTTCCATTGATCTGACGGGTAGACTACGGGTAAAAAGAAAGATTCGTCACAAAAAAGAATCCCGATATTTCCTCAAAAATTGTTTAATCTCAGATTGCTTGAAATGTTGTTAACGGCTTCTTTTTCTTAAAAATATCCCCGGATAGCCCCGGCGAAATACCACACCCTCGGTGATCAATTCCCAAAAGTTTCTTTCAAGGCATGACGAAATCGAGAGCAATAATTGTATTGTAATGGACTCCCAAAACGAGGAGCACCATCAGGTGTTTGGAAAATAGTACGCATTTGCTGTAGAAAGGTCATCTAATTCCCCTGCCATGTCTGTGTACATTCTCTTGCCTTGCAACCAATGTTCAATAAAACTGTTAAAGTAAGACGTTAACTAAACTTTCAGATGGACCCAGTGATGTAAAACTAGAGCCACATAAAAGGGAGACAACTGTAACTACAGGTGAGGATTTGATAGTAAGATGTTCAACTCCAAAGTACAGCGTAACACGGGAAAAAACTTTCAAGGCCTCAAATCAAAAACCGAGCATGTTCAGAAATGATTTCAAATTTGAGAACGTCAATCGTTCTTATGAAGGTGTTTACGTCTGTCTGGTCAACAACGTTCACGAAGAAGCCAAGAATATATAACATATATTGCATATATAAGTATCCTAATTTCGTGCTAACCTATTTTTCGTGCATCTCCGGAAATGATAAATAATTTACATGTGCGACCTCGCGTGACATGGGTTATCTGTACAATGTAAGCTAGTAGAATGAATCGAGTAGTTTCAAGTAAAATATATTAATGTATCCATTGACAAATACAAAATGGCGAATTTCAGTTATTACCAAACGTCACAATTTTTTATCGGCCGAATTTTCTTATAATCCCTACCTGTAATCGAAATTCCAAGTGTAGTTTGCTAGAATGTAGTCCAATGAACGAAGTCACGTGATCAACTAGCGGATTCTGTGTTAGCAGAAATTCTATGGAACACAATTTGGGCCATATTCTTATGTTGTTTCAATGAATTTTAGCAATAAATCACGCTACGTATCTTATTTGGTCAGTCACTATTTATTTTTTAAATCATGGTTCTTTGAAGGAATTGTCATTAATTATAATGAATTGATATCCAAGATACTAAGCGAAGTTAATTATACCACTGGGTATGCATATAACGTGTTTTTCTCGACTTATTTATAGATCAAAAATTGTACACGAAAATAGGTGACGCATTTTGCCACCGTTGTCAAGTTGGTTACTCATGAAATATGGGTCAAAGTGAGGGATTCATAGAGAAAATCGAAACAAACCCATTTTAGTTATTTTGTAGAATATCTATTTTTTTAACTTCGACGAAATTGGATGTTGAATCCTTATATACACGAAAATAGGTTACACTACTGTATAACTTTATGATAATAATATTATTTATTCTACTTCTTTGTTTCAGAAACTGAAATGATGAATAATGTGATTGTTGCTGCTATAGCTGTTGTTGTTGTTGCTATTATTATAGCGGTTATTGTAGTTGTTATAACGGTAGTTCTGTCAATATAAAATATATATAACACCAATTTAACATCAGTAGTTCTGTCAATATAAAATATATATAACACCAATTTAACATCAGTAGTTCTGTTAGTATAAAATATATATAACACCAATTTAACATCAGTAGTTCTGTAGCTATACATATAAATTAAACAACAATCTAACATCCGTAGCTATGTCATTTCTCCAAAAGCCAATGCCAAGTTATTATCCCAGGCACAGGTTGGCAGGTTTTCGGGTATACCGGAAAATGAAAGAAAAGGTAGAAAAAACAACGTTCACTTGGGATTCTTGGCTGGTCCTTGGCCCAACCTGTTTCTGTGTCCATTTTCAGCTGGATCGACTGGAAATATGAAGAAAGATGTCTTCCTGACGGTCATCAGATTTCCACAAGCCAAATGAGGTTAGTACCCAAAACCATCATTTTTTCAACGCAAGCATGAGAATGATGTCATGTAAAGTTTCCAACCTCATAACTGAGTCTTAACTACTTAAAGAAGCATACTACTTGCCTAACACAAAACGCACTATTTATTTCAATGGAGCTGGTCTTCGTCATCAGAATCCAGTTCCATATTTCGGGGTATCTTTGGCGCTTTCTTGGCAAAGTCTATTGTACTATACTCAACTTCAGATTCTGGTTTGATGCCATAAATTTTATACCAATCTGGAGTATTTAAGTCTAATTCAGCATATACAATATCTTCTGGCTCCTAGAATTAGAATAGATCTGATTATTGAAAACTTCAAGACAAGCTCCACCCTCTTTTCATGACATGTATATGCCACACCCTAATGCCACGCCTCATCTTTTCACTGGTCTTTTATCCTATTCAGTTGAATTTTTAGCTAATGGTTTGAACTTGTCATAGTTTATTCTAACTAATCACAAACACTGTTTAAAATTGACGGACAGTACAAGTCAATTCTTAATTCAATGAATATCCAAGAAGTCCATAAATAGTCTGAAAATCTGTTTTTGAACAGAACGTTTGATTGGAGAAGTATCTTAATGACGTAAAGAATGGGCTGTGTGACAATGTTTTCACCTAAAGACAAAATATGAAACAAAACATCCAGCAATTTTATCAGACTGGGAGAGAGAAAAACTGGACAGAAACAAGAAAAATGCTTGGATAGAATACAAGAACCTTACCTCATATTCTGTTCTTCTCCAGTAAATCACTCTATAGTGTTTCTTCTTTTCTGAAAAAACCAAAAAAATTAAGGTTTAGCTATTTTTTTGTAATGACAGGATAATAGACAGCTAGATTTATATCACCTTAACTCTAGCTTCCAGTCCTCCTACAATTAAAAATAACATAAAGCAGAAATTTGGAACCTTTTTTAGTCATGGGGTAATATTAACAGCACGTGCAAGCAACCGTATGTTGCAAAATAAAAAGATGCTCGGTATAATTACGGTACATTCAATACATCTGAGTACATGTAATTGTATATTTAACGCGGATAAGATAATGTAGACACAAGTTTTTCGCAGATAGAAGCCCGGTAATGCAATCTAGAACTTCGCTACCTAACGTTACGAACAAGGACATTCTAGCAGTATAGGTACAGTTAGTACTCACTATATTTATTGTAAATGATAACCGTTATAACAACTACAATAACCGCTATAATAATAGCAACAACAATAACAGCTATAGCAGCAACAATCACATTATTCATCATTTCAGTTTCTGAAACAAAGAAGTAGAATAAATAATATCATTATCATAAAGTTATACAGTAGTGTAACCTATTTTCGTGTATATAAGGATTCAACATCCAATTTCGTCGAAGTTAAAAAAATAGATATTCTACAAAATAACTAAAATGGGTTTGTTTCGATTTTCTCTATGAATCCCTCACTTTGACCCATATTTCATGAGTAACCAACTTGACAACGGTGGCAAAATGCGTCACCTATTTTCGTGTACAATTTTTGATCTATAAATAAGTCGAGAAAAACACGTTATATGCATACCCAGTGGTATAATTAACTTCGCTTAGTATCTTGGATATCAATTCATTATAATTAATGACAATTCCTTCAAAGAACCATGATTTAAAAAATAAATAGTGACTGACCAAATAAGATACGTAGCGTGATTTATTGCTAAAATTCATTGAAACAACATAAGAATATGGCCCAAATTGTGTTCCATAGAATTTCTGCTAACACAGAATCCGCTAGTTGATCACGTGACTTCGTTCATTGGACTACATTCTAGCAAACTACACTTGGAATTTCGATTACAGGTAGGGATTATAAGAAAATTCGGCCGATAAAAAATTGTGACGTTTGGTAATAACTGAAATTCGCCATTTTGTATTTGTCAATGGATACATTAATATATTTTACTTGAAACTACTCGATTCATTCTACTAGCTTACATTGTACAGATAACCCATGTCACGCGAGGTCGCACATGTAAATTATTTATCATTTCCGGAGATGCACGAAAAATTGGTTAGCACGAAATTAGGATACTTATATATGCAATATATGTTATATATTCTTGGCTTCTTCGTGAACGTTGTTGACCAGACAGACGTAAACACCTTCATAAGAACGATTGACGTTCTCAAATTTGAAATCATTTCTGAACATGCTCGGTTTTTGATTTGAGGCCTTGAAAGTTTTTTCCCGTGTTACGCTGTACTTTGGAGTTGAACATCTTACTATCAAATCCTCACCTGTAGTTACAGTTGTCTCCCTTTTATGTGGCTCTAGTTTTACATCACTGGGTCCATCTGAAAGTTTAGTTAACGTCTTACTTTAACAGTTTTATTGAACATTGGTTGCAAGGCAAGAGAATGTACACAGACATGGCAGGGGAATTAGATGACCTTTCTACAGCAAATGCATACTATTTTCCAAACACCTGATGGTGCTCCTCGTTTTGGGAGTCCATTACAATACAATTATTGCTCTCGATTTCGTCATGCCTTGAAAGAAACTTTTGGCAACTGGAATTGTTTGCTTGTACGGATTTTTATAAATACTTTGTTGTTATAAGAATTAGAGGATTTGGGATGAGACAGCGGACAGAAATAAAATATCAATGACTCTTTAGTCCATGAGCAAAGTCAGTGAGCTCAGCGTCACCATAGAACAGCACCGCCTATACACAATCTGTCACCGGGATAACGTCGCACTAGGTGACACTAAGCTGAACATTTTAATCCTCACCTGTAGTTACAGTTATCTCCCTTTGATTTGGCTCTAGTTTCACATCAGTGGGTGCATCTGAAAATTTAGTTAATGTTTTACTTAAACAGTTTTAGCGAAGATTGGTTGCTAGACAAGAGAACATACACATACATAGCAGACGATAGTTTGTCTAATAGTATAGAGCTCATCTCATACTGCCGACACATGGTTAGGATACACAATCCCCATTAAAACAGTAAGTGTTGGAAATGGGGGTTAACTTCCCAAAATCATACTTTGTACTGGATCAAAAAATATAAAAACTTGGTTATGTTAAGGTTAAGGTAACGACTCATTATGAGAAAACAGATTAATACCCTTATTAAATTTACCATAGGGATAAGGTGTTGTGGTCTGTAGTCCTTCATTTCCCGGGAAATATTCTGTAGCTTTACACGTAAAGTTTCCACCATTATGGTCTACAGTCACGTTAATTTGAGATAAAGTTGGATCTAATTCAGTCATTCTCATTCCATTTTTATACCACATTATATACATAGAGTTATTGACCAGTTGACAATCTCTTATACTGGTTGAAACATTGTGACATTCTAGTTTTAAGATTGAAGTATAGTTATCTTTTGTTCCGCCTGAAACAAAAACATTTGTAAAATAATATATTTAAAAATGAAATGATAAGAAAGCAAGGACGGAGATATCTTGAGCTCCATTATAATAAATTCTGTGATGGATAGGGCAAGCTCACTCTTCTATATATAATGGAATAAAAAGTTTTTGAACTATAAGTGGATCATTAGTCTGTCTTGCGGACCATTTGAATTGAATTTCTATTTCCTTAATTTTTTTTTACATATTCCACAATTTGAATCCCTTACTACAGTATAATAGAGAGCTTGCCAGGCAAGGTAACATATGCCCACTGGCAGCTGTTGGATATAACAGTGTTTTAAATATAAATCATCATTAAGATACGATAAAAACTGTAGCCTCTATTGTGACTTTAAGCCAAATTGTATGTGTTTTTAGTAAGTCGAGGGGAATAACTCAAAACCTGTTCATCCCATTATTGTAAATCATAACTTGACCGAGATCTCATCAATATATATGCATACGAAGTTCCATTAAAATTTGATAAAAACTGTATAGTATATAGTGCCTACAAGACTTGTCGACAAGAGTGGCGATGTAAATTCATATTCCAGTAACTATCGTGAAAGCAGTATATTGCCCGCCCTATAAATCCTCATAAAATCAAACCTGAAATCGACGAAGCATTCTGTCCCACAAGGATTTTATTGAACTCCATCCAATATATTCCAGCATCTTCTTCTGTAGTAGTTCTTTTTATTTTGAGCATTAACGTGTCATTGGTCAGGAAGATTTCTCTCTGGCCCATAGTTAAATGATCTATTTTAGAATCCATCGTATTATCAAACCGAATACGTGATTCGTTTTTCAGTAACTGAATCTTGATTTCTTTTTCGATCTTCTTTCCATCATGTTCAGTGATATATTTGCTAATGTTGTATCTGAGATCAGAAAGTGAAACATCAAACTCCAGTTTCTTCCCAAGTTGACCCACAATTATTTCTGTCTTGTTGCACTCTTCACTTTCAACTGGAGAAAGAAATTCAGAGAATCACACGTAAAACTGAACTGATATTTATTTCTACATCCTACTTTTATAAAATATGATTGGGCAGTGTGCAACGAGGGGAATTTTGCCATGACAGCATCAGTCTTAAATTTATAACTATTGAGGTGTATAGTCTGTAGCCAACCGGGCATCACCATTTTGTTTGCATCAAAAATCTAATGCATTAAACATATTTAAAATGAGGCGTATCCCACAAAAGCCAATGGATTTCAGATGCTTGATGGACACAGAGACCTTAGCCAGAGATAATACAATACACCTTAGCTAGACAATATAAGAGACCCTAGCTAGATAATATAAGAGACCCTAGCTAGATAATATAAGAGACCATAGCTAGATAATACAAGATACCCTAGCTAGATAGTATAAGAGACCCTAGCTAGATAGTATAAGAGACCATAGCTAGATAATATAAGAGACTCTAGCTACATAATATAAGAGACCATAGCTAGATAATATAAGAGACCCTAGCTAGATAATATAAGAGACCTTAGCTAGATAATATAAGAGACTCTAGCTAGATAATATAAGAGACCATAGCTAGATAATATAAGAGACCCTAGCTAGATAATATAAGAGACCTTAGCTAGATAATATAAGAGACCCTAGCTAGATAATATAAGAGACCCTAGCTAGATAGTATAAGAGACCCTAGCTAGATAATATAAGAGACCCTAGCTAGATAATATAAGAGACCCTAGCTAGATAGTATAAGAGACCCTAGCTAGATAGTATAAGAGACCCTAGCTAGATAATATAAGAGACCCTAGCTATATAATATAAGAGACCTTAGCTAATTAGTGTAGGATATAAGAGACCTTAGCTAATTAGTATAGGACATAAGAGACTCTTATTAGCTAGATTATATGAATGAGCAACACATTCTGAAACCGATATTTATGACTGTATTATTTCCTTGAACCAGGGCTACTTATCTAATTAAATGTAAATCAAGGTATTTCGCCTTGTTTATGACGTCCTCCTCGTAAAATACTAATAATATAATAATCCTTGTAAATAATCTCTTTTAACGAGTCTTATAAAAATACCGGTCCGAGCAACGAACTGTTTGATAAAATTGGTCCGAGTAACGAGTTGTGCTTTAAAGTTGGCCCGAGTAACGAGTTGTGCTTTATAGTTCGTCCGAGTAACGAGTTGTGTTATATAGTTGGTCTGAGTAACGAGTTGTGTTCTAAAGTTGGTCCGAGTAACGAGTTGTGCTTTAAAGTTGGTCCGAGTAACGAGTTTTGTTTAAAGTTGGTCCGAGTAACGAGTTGTGCTTTAAGGTTGGTCCGAGTAACGAGTTGTGTTTTAAAGTTGGTCCGAGTAACGAGTTGTGCTTTAAAGTTGGTCTGAGTCTTATTAAAACTGATCTGAGTTGTCCTGATTCGATTTAGCTTCAAACATTCGCCTACCTGTTTTTTGACAGCAAATCAGCATGACAATAATCCACAGCATTTTATATCACTTTCATAGAAACAGACAAACTAAAACAAACGAAATACGCGCAATGACTGTTGACACTTTGTAAGTATTCTTCAGGTATGCTGTTCATCACATCAAATTCTAGTTTCAATTTCCTTGGGCTTTCTTCCGGATATCTGGATGTTCGAGAAAAGCTGAAAGTCAAAGCCGCCCAGGCTCAAAATGAGTGACGGTTTGAGACCAAACGGCCTCCGTGAAAGTTACACTAGCACGGAAACTGCCGAGGATTGCCGAATGGGTTTGATACTGGATACAAACAGCTATGCTTTTTCTCGATTAAACAGACTTCCGGAAGTAATCTGTAGAGTAATCTGTAAATCTGTAAATCGAAACTAGAAAAACAATCGACTACGTATTTATTTCAGCGAATGACCGATTGTTTCAGAGGGCACGTTTGTTTTTAAGTTTACTATTTCCACGAATGAGACATAAAATGCTGTGGATTGCTATTATGGTGATGTGCTGTCTACAAACAGGTAATAAGCTATTGCAATTTTGAATATCACCACTTTCCTTTCACTTTCAGTAGGTTCAGACATTTGAACTAATGCACAATGTAATATTCCAACCCTTCTTTTATGATTATAAATGAAAATATAAATTAAACTTTTTTTGTAGTACAATATTACAAGGAATAAGGACATTTTTCATAGAATATGAAATTTCTCCATTAAATTGAAAAATATTGACCTTCTATATGAAAAATTCCCTAGGAAAAGGTATGAGAACAGGGTTTCGATACAGCTGAATATCACTGATGGTTCCTGTAAATGTGGGTGACATCGGAAACCAAGGCCCTGTGTGCTACATGCTGTGCACACTAAAGATACAGTTGGAAAGTGAAAAAGAGTAGGCTAATGCCGCTGTCCTGGAAAAATTACCCTTATTGTACACAGCATGGCGTTGCCCGTCTTCATTAGCCCATAAGGTGCTGAAGAGTAGGACGTTAAACCCATTCATTTTGTTTTTATTTTTAAATAGTGGGTCATAGTGAATGACTTGGCCCTTGCTCAGCCCTCTCACCTGATGTTTCATATTGCCCTACACTAGATTGAGAGTGTAGAGTGTAATATCTGAAAAAAAGAACGCATCATTCAAGGAAATAATAATCCTTTGAACATCAGTTTGAGAACGGGCCTCTCTGTTATATTATCTAGCTAGAGTCTCTATGACATTCTAACAGGATGTATAATCAATCACTCATTCATGAGTTTGAATCTTGAATGAAGTTCTCAAATTTCTTTACCTTATGAAAGAGAGACCTAAATAGGACACAGTCTAGCCAATGAGTCAGAAAAAGCAGGGACCATTTTATTTCAATTTTATATGACATTGATGGGTTAAATATTATCAAATGGATCCTAATACAACTATTTAAAACCAATTTTTGCATTAAAATATCCTTGAATGGATCTGAATAATGAGATCAGGTTCTGATGCAAATGAAAAGGCCTAAAACTCGATTCTAAACCTGAGCTTAAAGATTTGTTCCCTTATTTTCATTTATGAAAATGTTAATACTTATATGAATAGAAACTAGAGATGTTCTAATGAACTTGGAAAAATACCAGTTTGTCTCACGTGTCCATAATGAATTCATAATTAGCTAAATAAAAAGAGAGTTACCAGCAGAATTCCAATGAGTGACCGGTCAAGAAAGGTCAAAAAGTCATACATGCACATTTATGATTGGTTAAAACTCTTAATTATATGCAATAAGAACATAATGATATGATTAAGAATACATGATAATTCATTAGAAACACCAATTAATGAAATAGTTTGCTTAATTTGACACTAAAAAATAAAAGGAAACCCATCTTTAAGTAGATTATTGTCAAATTGAGCATACAATATACATGCACATTAGCTTATAGAAACAGTGTATTAATGGGCCTTTAATGTTGGGCTTTGTTCTTTTTTTGACTAATCATGATGATGAGACAAAACAAATGAGGCCCCTAGGTTACAGACACCCAGGCACCTAGGCTTACACTGCTGTCCTGGTAAAATTTCCCTCATTGCCCATCTGATTTGATCAGTAGCAGAATGGATAAAGTAGAAAAATACACTGCATTTATAAACATCAATATTTTTTCTTTTCAGTTGAAAGTGAAGAGTGTGATAAAACAGAAATAATTGTTGGTCAACTTGGAAAGGAACTGGTGTTAAATTTTCCACTTTCTGATCTCAGAGACGAGTATAACAAATATATCATTGAACATGATAGTGTAAAAAAGTTTAAAGATAATGAAACTACAATCCAGGATCTCAAAAATGACTCAAATATTCGGTTTAGAAATAAGATGAATTCTAAAAATGAAGATATAATTTTTATACATGGTAAATCAAATAATCTGATCAGAAGTGGGACAGAAATCACCATGACTGATGATGCCTTCATGGTAAAAAAAACAAAACTACAAAAAGAAGATGCTGGAATATATTGGATCAATTTCAATGTAATTCATTTGGGACAGAAAGCTTTGATTATAGCAGGTAAGCCATTTATAATAGTTCACACTCCAAGATGAATACCAAGTGGGCCAACCCAGTTGCAGAGTGGCATAAGGTTTCTCCTAAGATAGAGCATGATCACTACATTATTTAATACAGTAGAGCTCATTCAGAAAACTGAGCCCAAAACCTTCATGAAAAAAACCCCCAAAAAACAAGTAGGCCCTACTAAGAATCTGAATTACAAAATGAAACGTGCAATCTAAAATTACAGTTTGGCAATACATTGGTAATGGCTGATGAACTTTGCATATCAATCATAAAAGAGAGAGTATTTCATAATGTTAAGTGGTATCAGGTGTCTTGAAGAGTAAACATATCCTGTGTGGTGCCACATACTACATTGCTATTTTATGTTTCAGGCAAACCCACAATTGAAGGACGATCTCCACCAAATCCTGTTTTAAAACCAGAAGATAACTATACTTCAATCTTACAACTAGAATGTCACAGTGTTTCAACCAGTATAGGAGATTGTCAACCGGTCAATAACCCTATGTATATAATGTGGTATAAAAATGGAATGAGAATGACTGAATTAGATCCAACTTTATCTCAAATTAACGTGACTGTAGACCATAATGGTGGAAACATTACGTGTCTGGCTACAGAATATCTCCCTTGTTATGAAAGACTACAGAACACAACAGATTATGATGGTAAATATAATTGGGCAATAATCTTAATCCATGACCAGTTTGATATATATTCTAATTTAAAGACATTCCTAGCCCTTGACAAGTTGACAAGTTGCATAGTTTTTTGTGTCTTTAGTTTTGCATATAAAATCTGTTAATTTTCCTTGTTTTTTTGTAGTTTTCCCTGTTCTGTTGAATATTGTTTGTTTTTGTTGTTTTCAGTTTTGAATATTGAAGAGTGTAATAATGTCTCTGAGAGTGAAACCTTTTACTATAAACCTCAACGTAAGTTTCTTATTCCTCTATCAGGATCAGATTGTGTATAGGTGGCGCTGTTATGTGGCGACGTAGAGTTTGCTTTCATTGCTCAGTATAACTTTGGAAAGTTAACCCATATTTCTTCTGACTGTCTTGATGAAGGTTGTATATCAGAAACATTTATCAACAGCACACTTGAAGCCACACTGTGGTCTTATAGGATCACTGAGATATACCAGTAACCAACACATACTGGAAGAAGCTCTGACAACAAGTAATTTATATTACTTCCTAGCAGACGACATCCCCATTTGTTACTGATTATGTTGGTTTGAGTTAGTGTCCTTTTTTTTTGAAAAGATATCATTGACAAAATATTAGTATTTTCTGCAAACCATTAATCTAACTTGTCTGTGTATGTCCTCTTGCCTGGCAACCAATCTTCACTAAATTAGTTTTAGTAAAAATTTCTACTAATTTTTCAGATGCACCCATTAATGTAGAACTAGAGCCAGATCAAAGGGAGATAACTGTGAAAAAATATGAGGATTTGAAAGTAAAATGTTCAGCTAAGTGTCACCCAAAGTGCAACGTAACATGGGAGAAAGATTTTCAAGACCTTGAATCAAATAGTTCGTTTTTCATAACCGAGAATTGGTTTGGAAAAGATTTGAAAATTGTGAACATCAACAGTTCTCATGAAGGTGTTTACGTCTGTCTTGTCAACAACACTCATGGAGAAAACAAGAAGAATTTTACTCTAAGTGTTACAGGTATGTGCTTGACAAGATCAAACTTTTTTTCCAATAAAAGGATGCTGTGGCTTTTTGCAAAGTTGGAAAGTTCATCAAGTGCACAAGATTAGGCCTATCATAAACAGAAGGTTGTAGTGTATTGCTAGAATGTCCTTGTAGGGCTTGTTCTCTGTATAGATAGATGTGCATAGTTTTAGTACAGGAAGGTCACTAGTAAAGCAACAAAGAATTTTTTGTCCATGCTGACAGTTGCATTTGCTATTAATACTCAGGAAGTCCATAAGTTATTCCATTAATTATTCCATTGATGCTGTACTAGAAGCAAGTCCAGCTTAGTTTTCACCATCTTTACAATGTCAAGCTATAATGAACTGTGTCTTATACCTTGACTGCAATAGTTAATTTTCTTTTATCATGGAAGTTTGTAAATGAAGTGATTTAATTGGATTGTATACCAGTGAATATACCCAATCTAAGGCCTTAACAGAAAGTCTGTGAACAGAACACAAAGCCATAATGTTTACAGCCTTCTGTTAAGTGCTCTGATTGGCTATCTTCGCTAGCATATAATCCAATCAAATCACTGCATCCAGAAATATCTTGACATTGTGAAGATGAGTGTTCACACACACACTAACAATATTGGTGTTGGGTCTTCTTCTAATCTTACGATTATTCAATAATTTATATTATATCTTACAGTTAATCCCACAACTGTTAATCCCACAACTGTTAATCCCACCACAGTTAATCCCACCATAAATATTAAAGCTAATTCTGGTAAGGACAATTTACATGTGGCAAATACCAAAAACAACCACTTGTTTAATAAAATCTTACAATCTTTTCTTTTTTTGCAAATAAAATTTTTGAAATTTGTCTTATGATGAATAAAAAGTTTGTTGAGTCTAAAAAGATTTTGAAAATCTTGAACCCTGCTAAAAAACAGACGAATAATAAAGTTTAACCCTGAAATTTTTGTAAAATGTATACTGTGCTTATCATTTGGTAGCTCTGCCAATGCTGTGCTATTTCCTTATCAATGCTATCCTTATAATTTACTAATGCTATGCTAAAACTTTACCACTTCGCCATTTTTATGCTAAATCTCTATCACTGCTATGCTAATAATTTATTTATGATATTCTAATACTTTACCATTGCTATGCTAAATCTCTATCACTGCTATGCTAATACTTGACCATTGCTATGCTAATACTTGACCATTGCTATGCTAATACTTGACCATTGCTATGCTAATACTTGACCAATGCTATGCTAATACTTGACTATTCCTATGCTAATACTTGACCATTGCTATGCTAAGTCTCTATCACTGCTATGCTAATACTTGACCATTGCTATGCTAATACTTGACCATTGCTATGCTAATACTTGACCATTGCTATGCTAATACTTGACTATTGCTATGCTAATACTTGACCATTGCTATGCTAATAATTTTCCACTCCTATGCCAATACTTTTCATGGCTATGCTTACGAGTCTATGCTCAATTTTTCCAATGCTATGCTTGTACTATGCTTTGCTCATACTTTATCAATATACTTAACCAATGCTTTGCTCATACTTTACTAATATTTTGATCATACTTTACCAATGCTTTGATCATACTTTACCAATGCTTTATTCATACTTTACCAATGCTTTACTCATACTTTACCAATGCTTTGATCATACTTTACCAATGCTTTGATCATACTTTACCAATGCTTTGATCATACTTTACCAATGCTTTTCTCATACTTTACCAATGCTTTTCTCATACTTTACCAATGCTTTATTCATACTTTACCAATGCTTTACTCATACTTTACCAATACTTTACTCATACTTTACCAATACTTTACTCATACTTTACCAATGCTTTGCTCATAATTTACCAATGCTTTGCTCATAATTTACCAATGCTTTGCTCATAATTTACCAATGCAATGGTGCAACTTTATTAACTTTTGCCATTGCTATACCGGTACTAGTACTTTACCACTGCTATACTGATACTTTACCATTGCTATGCTTAATTATTGCCAATGCTATGCTAATACTTTACTATAAACCCTTTACAATAAGACCTACTATTTATTCTACCATTGAACACAATATAGGTCTGACCCTTTAAGTTTTAATCACTTTTTAATTCTACCTCGAAACAGAAAAGACTGCTTATGTTTATGTATTGAACCATTCATTGCATCTTTGCGTGTCTAAAGTCAATGGCGTTTCTAGGAAACATTAGTTGAGGGTGCCGAACTGGGGCCACAGAATTTTCCAGTGGGGTCACAGTAATTCTTTCATTATGCAAAATAATAAAAAATTTGAAACTGATTCAGAAACTTGTGTCTTTTTCAGAACCTGAGAACAAAGAAGTGAAATCTGCAGAGAAGAATAATGTTATTGTTGCGGTTACAGTTATTATTGTTATTATAGTAGCTGTTATTGTAATTGTTATTATAGTTATCATATACAAGAAATATCAGAGTAAGTCATTAATTATTATTCGAGTTGTTATTGTTATTGTCGTTGTTATTATAGTTATCATATACAAGAAATATCAGAGTAAGTCATTAATTATTATTCGAGTTGTAATTGTTATTGTAGTTGTTATTATGGTTATCATGTACAAGAAATATCAGAGTAAGTAGATTGCTTTTTACAAATAATTGCAACTTTGCCTACTTAAAGGGACAGGTAGGCCATTCTTTTTAACAAATTATACCTTAGTTGCAGAAACAGGAATTTTATAGTTTATACTTTCAAATACATTAAAGGGCACAATTCTCTAGATTTTAGTGTTTAGTTTTCTCAAATTTGATCAAAAATATTTTCAACCTACAAAAAAAACAGAATTTCCCTTTAAAAAGTCTTGTATCATAGATTGCATATTTTCCTTTAATGTATTAACGAAATAAATTGCTTGAAAAGTGTTTTTGATGAAAACCATGGTCAATAACCATCAATTAGTTGTTGTACCATACTTCGATAACTTGGTATATTACATGAATACAATATAGATAACGTATTAATGCTTACACGTGCAGTTATTACATATGGCATCACAATATCATTAATATCTGCACATATACTGTTAGGGCTTTATGGTTATTTCATTGAGGGAGAACCAGAAGCTGGATTTCAATTGTGTGAAGTGATAGTTATAGATGTCAAAGGTCTAAATAGGGATTTTATGATGTTTTAATTGTAGGAGAGCTAGAGTTTAATTCTGAAAGGGATAAATCCAGATGTCGAAGGTCTAAATAGGGATTTTATGATGTTCTTAATTGTAGAAGAACCGGAAGCTAGATTTAAAGTCTGAATAGTGATGTCAAGGGTATCGATAGGGGCTTTATTATGTTTTAATTGTAGAAGATCCGAAATTCTGAAGAGTGAGAATTATAGATGTCAAGGGTTCTAAATAGGGGCTCAATGATGTTTTTAATTGTAGAAGAACCAGAAGCTAGAGTTTGATTCTGAGAAGTAATATTAATCCAGATGAGTATTTTTCTGTAATAAAAAGAATGTTTTGTTTTTCTTTTTCAGAAAAGAAAAACGACTATCGTAATACAGTGCGTGAAGGAAGTTCATCAGAAGAAGGTTGGTTGGATTTTAGGGTGGGGATTTGGGGGTTGTGGAGTGGGGATTGGAGACAAAGGAATGTTGTAGAGTGAAATGAAATGGTAGTTGAGTCACTGTCAACTGCTATCCACTGGATGGTCACGAATTCCAACCACAACTTACTAGTACTACATGAGCAAATGAGATGTTTCCATGGTCGGTGATAACAAGTGAAGAGATTTTGCAAGGTGCTGCCATTTGTTAGCAGCCGAAAAGACAGTTTTTAGGTTGAACTTCCTTTACTAGCTTATTGTTGTTATTTTAGATGAAGGTATATTTGAAACAATGGATTTATATCAGGGTGCCCCTTTAACAAGAACATCCAGAAGCAGTAATTCCAGAAATGGTGTAGATAACAATGTTAGTATTCTTTCTACAAGGAATTTCCTTGTTGGATACTGGCAATAGTCAAGACAAGATTTTCCTCTAGCATTGAAGACAGGCAATATGTCAGTGCAATGCCATGTCTTCATGGTCTCAAAAATGTTCTTTGTTCATCAGTGGATTTACCTGGTATCAAACTATACGACAGAATCCATCTATAATATAATAAATCCATAAAACTATGTAAAAATCCATTAAACTATGTAAGCATTAGAAGCATTTTTCAATAATTACTTAGTTCAATGGATATATCATGTTTTATAAAGATTCTATACTTTTGTCATGGGACCTAGTAAGTCCAACTGATGAATATATACTCTTATTGACCAAATTTGAGACTTTATATTTGATGTCCAATCTAAGAAAAATTAGGCTATTCCTTTAAAAGCCATTTAGATTATTGGATCTTTTTTTCTGTTTCAGATGCCAGAAAGTGTTCAATATGCTATGTTAGAGTTAAATGCTCCAAATGGTTACAGGATTCATGGCATCAAGCGGGAACATGAGGTTCTGTACAGTACAATAGACTTTACCAAGAAAGCGCCGCCAATGCCTAAAAGTATGGAAGTAGATTCTGATGATGAAGATTGGTCTTAAAGGTTCATTCATTTTGTCTTTAAACTTTACATGCATTATTACAAAAAGCCTAATGGTAATTACTAGTAATTTACAGTGCTACACAAAATTTAATGGTAATTACTAGTAATTTACGGCGCTATACATAGTGCATTGGTAATTAATAGTATTTTACGGAGCTACACCAAGTTTAATGGTAATTACTAGCATTTCTGGTGCTATACAAAGTGTAATGGTAATTACTTGCATTTCTGGTGCTACACAAAGTGTAATGGTAATTACTTGCATTTCTGGTGCTACACAAAGTGTAATGGTAATTACTTACATTTCTGGTGCTACACAAAGTGTAATGGTTTTTGCTGGTATTTTACGGTACTCATTGTTCTGGAGAATGGACAGAGCTACTGATGTTAAATTGGTGTTATATATATTTTATAATGACAGAACTACTGATGTTAAATTGGTGTTATATATATTTTATATTGACAGAACTACTGATGTTAAATTGGTGTTATATATATTTTATATTGACAGAACTACTGATGTTAAATTGATGTTATATATATTTTATATTGACAGAACTACTGATGTTAAATTGGTGTTATATGTATTTTATATAACAATTGTATATCTATTTTTTATATTGTTTATTATCATATATGATATGACTTGTTCTTTCATCCTTGTAAAGGATCATCTTCATTCCATTATGTTATAAATATTTTGAGTCTTTTAAAGATAAATGTAAAAAATGAGAAGATAATACATGTATAGTATTGTCAAGCACACAAAAATTTCTGACCAAGACTGCTTGTGTGCCCGCACCTTTAATTTATCTAAATCAGATGGCCTGATGAGAAAAGCAGATAAGGGTTGTTATTTATAATTTATAGCTTGGTACTTATCTTGGTTAGTGCTTCTGTTGCCTGTTGCTTGCTAGAAATTTACATTGAGCATTCTGACAGTAGAAGTTGTGATCATGTTTTTTTTTTATATATTTTTTCATCTAGTATTTTACTTCTTACATTCCTTTCTGATTAATTTGTTATTTGTTATTAAATTGTCTTCATATTATAGAGTTTTGCTCTTGTTATTATTTGTTGTTATATTTTAGAGTTTTTCATTTGTTATTAATTGCCTAACAAAGGTTTTTCACTGTATCTAACATGTTATAATAACAGTATTTATAACACAGTGTTATTAAGTCACTGAACATGTATTGTATATGATAAACATGTTATGATAACAGTATTTATAACACAGTGTTATTAAATCACTGAACATGTATTGTATATGATAAACATGTTATGATAACAGTATTTATAACACAGTGTTATTAAGTCACTGAACATGTATTGTATATGATAAACATGTTATGATAACAGTATTTATAACACAGTGTTATTAAGTCATTGAACATGTATTGTATATGATAAACATGTTATAATAACAATATTTATAGCACAGTGTTATTAAGTCACTGAACATGTATTGTATATGATAAACATGTTATGATAACAGTATTTATAACACAGTGTTATTAAGTCCTTGAACATGTATTGTATATGATAAACATGTTATAATAACAATATTTATAACACCGTGTTATTAAGTCACTGAACATGTATTGTATATGATAAACATGTTATAATAACAGTATTTATAACACAGTGTTATTAAATCACTGAACATGTATTGTATATGATAAACATGTTATAATAACAATATTTATAACACAGTGTTATTAAGTCACTGAACATGTATTGTATATGATAAACATGTTATAATAACAGTATTTATTATACAGTGTTATTAACTCACTGAACATGTATTGTATATGATAAACATGTTATAATAACAATATTTATAACACAGTGTTATTAAGTCATTAAACATGTATTGTATATGATAAACATGTTCTAATAACAATATTTATAACACAGTGTTATTAAGTCACTGAACATGTATTGTATATGATAAACATGTTATAATAACAATATTTATAACACAGTGTTATTAAGTCACTGAATAGGTATTGTATATGATAAACATGTTATGATAACAATATTTATAACACAGTGTTATTAAGTCACTGAACATGTATTGTATATGATAAACATGTTATGATAACAATATTTATAACATAGTGTTATTAACTTACTGAACATGTATTGTAAATGATAAACATGTTATGATAACAATATTTATAACATAGTGTTATTAAGTTACTGAACATGTATTGTATATGATAAACATGTTATGATAACAATATTTATTATACAGTGTTATTAACTCACTGAACATGTATTGTATATGATAAACATGTTATAATAACAATATTTATTATACAGTGTTATTAACTCACTAGACATGTATTGTATATGATAAACATGTTATAATAACAATATTTATAACACAGTGTTATTAAGTCACTAAACATGTATTGTATATGATAAATATGTTATAATAACAATATTTATTATACAGTGTTATTAAGTCACTAAACATGTATTGTATATGATAAACATGTTATAATAACAATATTTATAACACAGTGTTATTAAGTCACTGAACATGTATTGTATATGATAAACATGTTATAATAACAATATTTATAACACAGTGTTATTAAGTCACTAAACATGTATTGTATATGATAAACATGTTATAATAACAGTATTTATTACACAGTGTTATTTTTATAATATTTATGTTTTAATAATTATTTAAAAACCACACATATATTTTTTATGAATTGTACATAAATTTTGATTTATTTAAGCAATATCTTTGGTTTTATCTTGTTTTTTTATTTTGCTTGTCTGTATTTAGTTTTGTATGTAGCTCATCTGTTTTGTAATTGGTTTATCTGTTTTGTATGTAGTGCATCTGTTTTGTATGTAGTGTATCTGTTTTGTAATTGGTTTATCTGTTTTGTATTTAGTGCATCTGTTTTGTAATTGGTTCATCTGTTTTGTATTTAGTGCATCTGTTTTGTAATTGGTTCATCTGTTTTGTATTTAGTGCATCTGTTTTGTAATTGGTTCATCTGTTTTGAATGTAGTGCATCTGTTTTGTAATTGGTTCATCTGTTTTGTATGTAGTTCATCTGTTTTGTATGTAGCTCATCTGTTTTGTATGTAGTGCATCTGTTTTGTATGTAGTGTATCTTTTTTGTAATTGGTTTATCTGTTTTGTATTTAGTGCATCTGTTTTGTAATTGGTTCATCTGTTTTGTATTTAGTGCATCTGTTTTGTAATTGGTTCATCTGTTTTGTATGCAGTTCATCTGTTTTGTATGTAGTGCATCTGTTTTGTAATTGGTTCATCTGTTTTGTATTAAATGCATCTGTTTTGTAATTGGTTAATCTGTTTTGTTTTATGTGTATCTTATTTTGTATTTTATATTTTATTAGTTGTTTTGTATATTATTATTTGTTTTGTATTTAGTATAAATTTTTTTTTTTGTTTTTGTTGTTATTATTATTCGTAGTGTAACCTTGATATGCTTTAAAACTATATTACATTTATTTAATAAAGACATAATAGTTTAATGCATGTCGATTTTTGTTGGCCAAAGCTTCAATGCAGGTTTTGTGCTTACATAAAATCCACCAAATTTATCAATCTAGAGTAGTTGAAGGGACTGACATTATAAATAAGTTGTGGGGGAAGGGGGTCTCCAGCCTTATAATCTAGTGGGGTGGGGGG